TCACTTATTCATTTACATGTGTTGAGCCATCCTTGAATCCCTGGGGTGACACCAACTTGGTCATGATGTGTGACCTTTTCAGTGATTTGTTGTATTCTTCTTGCCAGTACCTTGTTAAGGATTTTTGCATCTAAGTTAATTAAGGAGATTGGGCTGCAGTTGTTTGTTTATTTGCTTGTTTTTTGTTTTTGTTAACCCCTTGTCTGGCGTTTTTATTGGGATAATGCTGGCTTCCAGGAGTGAGCTGGGCAGTTTTCCTTCCCTTTTGATTTCATTGAAGAGTTTGAGGAGCATTGGTGTTAGGTTTTCCCTGAAGTTCTGGGAGAATCTGCAGTCAGTCCATTGGGCCCTTGCCTTTTCTTTGTTGGTTGTTTTTATTACTGCCTCTAATTCATTGCCTATTATTGGCCCATTCAGAGGTTTTTGTGTGTTCTTTCTCAATTTTGGTAATTCATATGTGTCTAGGGAGTTCTCCATTTCTTGTAAGTTCTTCAATTAGAATATAAGTTTTTGAAGTAACTTTTTTATAATGATCTGGATTTTGGTGGTGTCAGTTGTGATTTTGCCTTTTTCAGTTCTAACTGCATTGATATGGGTTTTTTCCTTGCCTTTTTTTTGTTAAGTTTGACTAAGTGTTTATCAATTTTGTGTATCCTTTCAAAGAACTAACCTTTTGATTCATGGATCCTTTGTATTGTTTTCTTTGTATCAATTTCATTAATTTCTCCTCTGATCTTTATAATTTCTTTCTTCCTGTTAATTTCAGGTTAGGTTGCTCTTGTTTCTTTAGGACCTTGAGATACAGCGCTCAGGTGTTTATGTGGGACGGTACAGTTCTTTTAGTAAGAGTGTTCACAGCTATAAACTTTTCTCTTAGAACTACTTCCAGTGTATCCTGTGGCTTTGGTGCATTGTGCCGCTATTTTCATTTGATTCTAAGAAGGCTTTTCGTTTCTTCCCTACTTTCTTCTGTGACCCACTGATTATTCAGGCATGTATTGTTTAATCTCTGTGTGTTTGTGTAAATTCTGTAGTTTCTTTTGCTGTTGATACCTAGCTTCATTCATTCCACTCTGACCCAGTGGTGTGCAGGGTATTATTTCAGTTCCCTTTTATTTATTTAGGCATGCTTTGTGGCCTAAGGTAGTATCTATTTTTGAAAAAGTTCATGTACTGCTGAGAAAAATGTATATTCTGTTGTTGTTGGATGAAACACTTTGTAGATATCTGTTAAGTCCATTTGTTCAGTGGTGTAGTTTAACTGCGATATTTCTTTGTTAATTTTTTCTGTCTGGTTGGCCTGATTGTGAGAGCTGGGTATTGAAGTTCCCTGCCGTGATTGCATTGGTGTCTGTCTGTTCTTTGATGTCCAGTACTTTCTGTTTTATGAAGCTGGGTGTGCCAGCATTCAGCACATAGCTACTTATAGTTGTTTTCTCTCTGTTATAGTTTCTGTCTAGATGTCCCCCAAAGCCCATGTGCTCCTAGGTGGGGCTTTTGGGAGGTGACTGGATCGTGGGGATGCGATACTCATCAGTGGATCAGTCCATGGTGAGTTTATAGCTGAATGTGATTTGGGAGGTGCAGCTTGGCTGGAGGAGGTGGGTCCCTGGGGGTGTGGCCTGGAAGGGTCTATTCTGCACCCTCCTTCATGCCACTCTGTGTTTCCTGTCTGCCACGGCCCTCTGCCACCCCACTGTCCCTTGGAGCCAGTTGACCATGGATGAAACCTGTACAAACCGTGAGCCAAAATAAACTCCTTTAACTTGTGAGTGTCAGGTATTTTGTCCCAGCAACAACAAAGCAGCTAAGACTCTTCCTTTAGAGTTGTTCCCATTGCCAGCGTGCAGTGGCCATCTTTATCCCTTCTGACCAGGTTTGACCTGAAGTCTGCAGAGTCTGAAAATAAAGGAGCTACTCCTGCTTGCTTTCAGGCTCCTGTTGCATGGTGTATCGCTTTCCATCATTTCACCTTTGAGCTGCCTTTTGGATGAGTTGTGTCACTTTTAAGCAATATATGGTTGCGTTTTGTGTTTTGACCCGGTCCACTAGTGTCTTTTGATTGAGAGTTAAGACCACTGACATTGAACATTATTATAAGGCGTTTACTGAATGGCTGTGCGTTGCACTACTCTTCCAATGCTGATTGCTTTGCTCTTTTCCTATCCCAGTTAGATGTGTGCATTTCCTTTGGGCTCTTTCCTCATGGCTTCCCTGTCTCTGTCTGGAATTCTCTTGAGTATTTTCTGCAGCACTGGTTTAGTGGCCATGTTTTCCTTAAGATTTCTTTGTCATGGAAAGCTTTTACTTCTTTGTCAGTTTTGAAGGTTAATTTTTTAGGATATAGAATTCTGGGTTGACAATTGTTTTCTTTTAGGACTTGCAAAACTTCACTGCAAGCTCTGCTGCGCTTCAAGGTTTGTGCATAAAATCTGCAGCAGTTCAGCAGGCCTGACTTTATTAGCAGCTTGCTGCTGTCCTCTGACAGCTTTCAGTGTTCTCTCCCTCACAGAATTTCTGGAAGTTTGATTATGATGTGTCATGGAAAGGTTCTTTTCCAGACGTGGCTGTTTACTTAAATATTGAATTCTTGCCCTAGATTTGGAAAATTTTCTGCAATGATTTCAGTGAATAAATTTCTCATACCTGTGAGCCATCTTCTAATTTGTGCTTTATTCCTGTGATTCTGACTTTTTTTTTTTTTTCAGTCACTTAGCAGGTGCTGGACCCAGGGCGCTTGGTGTCTTGTTTTTAGGGTGTCATGGAGCTTGTGCTTCACATCCACCTTCAGTGTCTGGCCCTCTGTCCCCATATGGATCCAATCTGCCAGCCATGCCTTTTATTGCATTTTTCATACCTTGTATTTCTGCTTGCTTGCTTTTCATAATTTCTAGTTCTTTACCAGGCTGGTCATTCATGTCTTATGTTGTCTTGCTTAATTCAGTTTCTGGATTGTTTCTTTTTTAAGCTCATCAAAAGTTTTATTAGTAAAATCCTTTCTTTATCTGTTTGAAAAATCCTCTTTAAGCTTTCAAATCTTATGAAATTACTTATCATTTCTTCTTTGAGCTCTTCAAACATTTTGACTATTTGGTCTTTGCCTATAACTTGCTGGGTTTCTGGGTCTGTGAGATCATCTTTTACATAACTAAGGGTTTTGGGAGACATCCTGTCACCTTGCTTCGTCATATTTCTAGTTTTTGTGCTTCGAGTTGAAGGTCAGTTTGTGTAGCAAAACTCTGTCCCTACTGTGTAGATCTCTAGCTGGACTCTGTCTCCGTGGGTTCAGTGCAGGGTCCTTGTGTTCGGTATGTCTTGGTGTTGCTACCCCTCTTCAGCCTACTCAGCACAGTATCTGAGGGTCTGCCTCCTGTCCAGCTTTCTTGTGGGGGCGGGGTCCCCAGCACCACACAGAGGAGAAACCAGCCCACAGTAGTGCTGTCACACGGACAGCCTGGGTGTCAGCATGCAGTAAAATCCACTTCACAGCAGCAGCTGTGCCACGCCTGCAGAGCAGAGACGCCGGCACTGACCGGAGTCAAAGCAAACTGGATGTGGACAGGCCCTAAGCACCAGTGAAAGCTGCAGCTGTATCAGTAGGAAGGAGAGTGACGGTGAGCCTGTGGACGCAGAGACAAACCAGATACTGACGCAGAGTATCCGTATCTCCGAAATGCAACAGCCATACCCTCAACAGTAGAAAAGAATTCAGCAACGAGAGCATTTAGCCAACTAAATGTCTAAAAATTAGTAATGCTTAACTGTAACATGACAAAGTAGAGGAGGTGAGGGACGGGAAAAAGGAAAGATGAGGAGAGAAGAGTGAGATAGACTCCAGTTAAAAGTAGACGGTTAATAGAATTAGGTAAATGCAGCAGCCGACAGCCAGAGGCCTTGCTGCCACTGAGTGTCAGGGTCAGAAGTAGTCAGGTGCCGCAGCTGCAGCCTGCCCGGTTCCTTTGGCCCGTCTGCCCCCAAGTATCCCCCTGTGCAGGCTGCCTCGGCCCCTTGGAGAAGTCCGCCGAGCACCCAGCTGCGGCTGCCGGGGTCTCCCACCCTCAGCAAGCCGGTAGCTTCAGTTCTGTGCCCACCGCCCAGACGTTCTGTGTGGATTTTAGTACCGACTCCTTTGGGGTAAAGAACCAGTCCCACACTGTATCACTGAAGCTGACCCAAGGATGAAGGGGAGAGAAGAAGCAAGGTGGCCGTCACCGCCCGCAGGGCCTTCCTGCGGCCCGCTCCTCTCTCCCCCTCAGTCCAGGCCAGTGGAGAACCTGCATCAGCAGGATCTGCCCTCTCCTGGCCTGGGCCCCACCTAGTGACATGGATGTGCTTGGGTCTTAAAGCACTTCTCCTCACTTCCCGAGAGGGAGGAGGTGGTGCCCTCATCCTGGGGGTTCCAGGGGGCTGCCAGGTGGGCATGCCGCTTCCTGCTCAGTCAGAGAGAAGAGCCAGCAGTGCCAAGGGGATTTAGCAATTTTCATCTTCTGATCACTGTTTCAGTCCAGGTTACCACTTACAGTTGTCAATTAATTTCCACTTAGCCTGTACTCGTTAAGTCCTGCTATTCACTAATCGACACTTCATTGAGCACCTACTTTGCCCCGGGTCCTGGTTCTCAGCTCTGGACAAGAACAGACTGCTCGGGGCTGTTCTCGTGGAGCTTTCGTGCAGTTAGATGGAAACAGACAGTGGAGTAGCAGATAACGGGGAACAGTGGGCGAGCGGCAGGTACAACACAGAGAAGTAGGACAGGTGATACGGTGACTCGCGTTAGGAGGTGCCTTCAGGCTGGGTGAGCAGGGCCATTTACGCTGCTCTTGTGAGGGTAACAGAAAGGAAATTGCTGGCTGTGGACAGCAGACATGGGAGCTGCAGTGAGAGGGCCCCAGGCCCTTTTCCTGTGTCTTTCTGCTTGGGCAAGTAAGTCCCAGCATGCAAAAAAAAGGACCGAGTGGCTTTCTGCACGCCCCGGGTGACTGCTGTTTCTGTCCCCTCAGCTCTACGTCTCCTCCGAGAGCCGCTTCAACACTCTGGCCGAGCTGGTCCACCACCATTCCACGGTGGCCGACGGGCTCATCACCACCCTGCACTACCCCGCACCCAAGCGCAACAAGCCCACGGTCTACGGCGTGTCCCCCAACTACGACAAGTGGGAGATGGAGCGCACGGACATCACCATGAAGCACAAGCTGGGCGGCGGCCAGTACGGGGAGGTGTACGAGGGCGTGTGGAAGAAGTACAGCCTCACGGTGGCCGTGAAGACCTTGAAGGTGGGCCTCACGGGGAGGGGGCCCTTCCGGGAAGCTGCCCACGTCGGTCAGGCCCCTCCCTGGCCTGGCCGGAGCGCTTGCGTTCTGCGGCCACGTCCCTTCCATAATGTCTGCGCGGCTGCACGCAGGGTGGGAGTGCTGGCTGGGGGCCACCGTGTAGAAGCCGGGGTTGGCAACGCGCGCCCCACTCAGGCCTGATGCTGTTAAAGCTGCGGACTCCCTCTGCTAGACAGTTGAGACGCTCTCCTCCCTGAGTGCTGAAAGGGAGAGCTTTCCCTGAAAGCCCCCCAGGACCCCTCTGGAGGCTGCGAAGGGCAGGTGTGTTGGGCCCCAGGAGCTCCCGGGGCTCCGCGCAGCCCGCCAGACCCCATACACCCAGGGCCAGGGGACTCACTCCCCCTCCAGCCCCTCCAGACTGCACTGTGGTTTCCACCCTCCCGGCTCGTGAACAGCACTGTAGTTCCCAAGCAGTTTTTGCTTCCTTTCGAAGCTTTGAAATCAGCTAGGGTGCCAAGGAAGTTTTCTCTTTTTTTGTCTGTTTGAGACAGGGTCTCACTATGCCGTTCAGGCTGGCCTTGAGCTCACTTTGTAGCCCAGGCTGGCCTCAGACTCGCAATGATCCTCCTGCCTCAGCTTTGCTAGTGCTGGGATTACAGGCATGCGCCACCACGCCTGGCTGGAAGTTTTCATTTCAAACCCTCTGCCTTCTTCCTGCTGGAACCGGGGCTCCGTCTGAGGAGAGTGCCCCCTAGTGTTGGTTCTGAGTGAACGCAAGACGCTGGCCTTTTTGTAGCTACTGGGAAAGAAAAAACAAACTTCCATCCCAGGATAGAACAGGCCACAGTATGTGCGGCCCCACAGTCCATCAGAAGTACGTGTTGTTGGTGCCCTAACGCTGGTGAGGGACACTTCCCTTGAAGACGCAGTAAAGTGGGAACCATGACTTTGGGCTGGTATCAAGGAGCGGCTGTAGAGTGAACTGCATTATTTGCAGGGAGCAAGGGGGGTTTGATACCAGGAATTGAACTCAGCACCTTGTGCTTGCCAGGCAGGCGCTGTGCCGCTGAGCTACATCCCTGGCCCATGAATTGCATTCTTGAGTTCTAGACATCAGTGGTGGCTTCCTGAGGTCACATTCGATGACACTGGCCCTTGGGCTGAGACGATTTTGGTACGGGTGGCTGGCATGGTTGGTCACCTTGAACGCTCCTGGCTGTTTTCCAGGTGGGACCTTTTTTTCTAATGTAGTAAATATGTGTGGAGTTCCTCACTCGTGTTGCTGGGCCCTGCCCTCCTTGGGAGTCTGAGAAGCCGACAGACTGACAGTGCAGCCTGAGCCTAGAGTGTGGCCCTGAGGCGAGGGGGAGCCGGGAGGGGCTGGGGCTGCGCCACTGGAGAGAGCTGTGGCCCTGGGAAGGAGGCAGCACGGGGAGAGGCGGACGGTGAGTCACGTGGCCAGGGCCCAGCTAGGGCGCCGTGGGGTCACTCTGAAGAAGTGAAGAGCCATGGCAGGGCTCGGGGCTCAGGATGGACACCAGTCCGTTGCAGTGTCCAAGACCGCCGAGCGGGAGTGCGCCGAGCACGCCATGCCCCGTGCGGTGCGTTGTCAGTGGTTACCGTAGTTTTGAGGCAATGGATTTTCCTCCCTTTCACCCAAGTTTCGTAACCATCTTCTGCCAGTTTACACATGTGCAGTTTAGTTCAGATCTCCACAAGAATGGAATGAAACCACCGCGCCCCTCCTGTGCCCGGTGAATGGAGCAAGAGGGCCGTGTCAGGCCCCAGGCCCTGAGCTGACACAAAGGCCTGGCCGGCTCAGTGAGCACGGAGGGCCTGGCATTGCCCACACTTTGCCCAGCTTCGCAAGAACGGAAGGAGGAGGAAGAGCACAGAACGCCCTGTGTCAGTAGTCAGGGCTCATTTGAAAACTCTGAAAAGGGAGATTGCCCTCAAAGGGAGCGCCGCCAGAGAGGAGCCTTACAGCACAGCCCAGGGCGTCAGGGCGGCACGTGCCTTGCTCGCGCTGCGGTGCTGTCCTTCCTGCTGCGCTTGCAGAGCTTTCCCCCGGCCTCCGCAGCGTGCAGCCTCACCGTTAGTGAGGAGCGGGGGACCTGTGTCCCATCGCCCCGTGTTGTAGTCAGGGTCAGGACATGTAATTTATAGGATTATTTGACTACAAAGAGTCAGTGCAAGATTGTGGGAGATCTGTCCACACACTAGAGACCCAAAGAATCCAGCTGAGGGCCTGGATCCCACAGCAATGTCGTGCATGAGTCCAGCTGAAGACCTAGAGCCATGACAATGTCTCATGCAAGTCTATTTCAAGGACCTGTGCTGGGAAGGCCCCAAGGCCAGTGGTGGAAGCTAGAAAGGCTGCGCCAGCGGGATGAAGGATAGATCTGTGCCAGCAGGCTGACGGATCTGCACTGGAGCCAGGGAGCCACACGCAAAGTAAGAACCAGCGCTCCCCTGAAAGGACCCACAGCCATCCTCAGCAACAGTGAGGTCCCGAGCTCTCCGATGATGAGGAAGGCCAAGTTCCGTCAGGAAAGCCAGCCTGACAAGCTTCTGCAGGAGAATGACAGTGCACCATCTTCCCCTCTGGAGCCAGGAAGTGGTGCTCAAGGTGGGGACCAGAGCTCCCCAAAGTGAACCGAAGCCCTCCTCAGCCACAGTGAGGACCCAAGCTCCTCCAGTGATGAGAACAGCCAGGTTCGTATCAGGAAAGCCAGCGTGACAAGCTTCTCCAGGAGAATCCACAGCACCATGTTCCCCTCCAGTTCTCCTTTTGTGCTGTTGGCAGCGACCCCCAGGTGGGCCCTCCACACCCAGCACCACGCTGACTCAGTTCAGCTGGGCGTTCCAAGTTGACCTTAGTCAATCCACCACACCCATGTGGTGCCTAAGGGCATAAGTGAGCCCCGCTGCTGGCCGCGCTTTCTCCCTGGCTGTGCGCGGGCTCCCTGGCCACCCGCTTGTCACGCAAAAGCAGCATCAGTATTTTGGGTATTTCTCCTCACGTGGGAGATGAGAACTTGGTCTCCGAATGACACTGTCTCACCTACTGTGCTCTCCGCGTGCCTGGCGGTTGTGAGCGCACGTTCCCCACAGCACCGTTCAGTCTCCGCTGTGAGAGCGGTCCGAGCTGCCTGCAGCCCCATCCGAAGGGAGGAGAGAGGAGCCCTGAGCGGGGCTCGACCCGGACAGCGGCTCCAAAGCCCAGCTCCCTTCCCCCCAGGGAGAACTCAGGCTCCCGTTCCTCCAGCGTCGTGAAAACACGTCAGTCTCAGGCACGCCTCTCCAGGCGTCCCCTGTCCCCTCCACCGCGCCGGGCCTCCTCTGCAGAGCTGTCCCCTGGGCTTCGTGCCCTCCAGGGTGTCCCTGAGCTGCCCCTCGGGCCTGCCAGCCCTGGTCCAGCGCGCTGGCCGCCCACGGCCCGAGTCGGGCCGCTCCTCACCAGCAGGGGGCGCGCGCCCCGGCCGCCCCGCGGGAGGGACCTGGACCCCGCGCAGCCGCTGCTGAGGCGGGCCGTGGCGGGGAGGGCCGCCCACGGGAAGCCCACTCTTTAAATGCGCCGTGCTCCGCGCGCTTGCGGTGCTCTTCCCGGAGCGTGGTGCGGGTCGTAGCAACAGGGTCCTGTTGATCTAGCTGAGGCGTTGACTTGAGCTCACCGGCAAATGGACGGTGAGCAGACCTCCCTCCTGATCCGGAGCAGGCCACCGCACCGCTGCTCTCCGCCCCTCGGTCAGTGGCCCCGCCGGGGACCGCGCCCGTTCGCTGTCCAGCAAGCAGTGTGGCTTTGCTTTTGTTTCTGCTTTTTTTCACCCAGGAAAGCAGTTTCATTGGGGGAACTCAGAAACTGGCAGGAAAGGGGGTCCAGGCGGCCCCGACTCCGAGCCTCTGCTGTTGTGGCCCTGGAGCGTCGAGGCTCCTCTGGGAAGTGGTTTCTCGTGGGCTTTCTCTCAGCGTCAAGACCGGGTCTGGTCTGTGAACCGCCCCCTCGTCGTGCGGAAACTGCCCCGGTTTCTGGTCACGTTCTGGTTGCGGTGCTCCTGCCCCCTCTGATGGTGAAGGCAGGTACTGCACATGCCAGAACCTCGCTGCCTAGCTCATGGGGGTGAAAGCCCCAAATAGATGTGGAAACCCACCTATTTGCGCACAAGTCTTGCTCCAGGGCCGAGGTTCCTGCTAAGAAGGACGGCTTCAGAGAGCTTAGCCATTTCGAAATCAGGGGTCTGTCAGCCAGGCATGATGGTACACACCTGTAATCCCAGCACTCGGGAGGCTGAGGCAGGAGGATCACCCAAGTTCAAGGATACCTTGGACAACATAGTTTAAGGCCAGCCTGAACTACATAGTGAGACCCTGTCTCAAAAAAACAGTACTCTTTTTTATGTTATTGAATACTGTACTTGTGGGTGAAGCCAGAGGACAAAAGGAGGAAGCCGATTATAAAATACCTGAGAGGTGTCAGGTCTGTGAGCTTGTGTCATAAGAAGACAAAAACAAAGCCCCAGCGTGCCCTGGAGCCAGCCTTTCTTTCTTGCAGTATATCCAGTCTGCTGCGTAGGGGTAGAGATGAGCCGTCCTGGCACAGTAAACCTGAACACCACTGGGTGAGTGCCGACCACGTTCCAGGCCCTGCACCAAGCACTCTGTACGGGAGGTAGATGCAGATATTTCCTTCACTTTGGAGAACAGGTTTAGCCGGGCTTGGTGATGCGCACCTGTAATTGTAGCACTATGGGAGGCTGAGGCAGGAGGATCACAAGTTCTAACTCAACAATTTAGTGAGACGCTGCCTCAAAATAAAAAATTAAAAAAGACTGAGGATGTAGGTCAGTGCAAGGACCCTAGGTTCATTCACCAGTACTGTAAAAGAAAGAGGGCAGAGAGAGAGAGAGAGAGAGAGAGAGAGAGAGAAAAGTGAGGGAGGGAGGGAAGAAAAGAGGGAGGAAAGGAAAGGAGTAGGTTTAGAGTTACCAAGGTCACACAACGCCAGAGCAGTCAGTCTGCCAGATCAGCCTCTCACCCTCTGCACTGCTGTCCCAGGTGTTCATCCCCATCTGGGCTGGGCCGCTCAGGCCTTGTGAAGAGCCCAGGCACCCCATCTCTTTCCCAATGGGCAGCTGAGTGCAGCTTTCCCTCGAAGTGTTTCCTCCACCCTCACTCATCTGAGTGAGTTTTAGTTTACTCTGTAAGTGGAAGAATTATCTTTGAAAGGACATTGGAAGCTGGGCGTGGTGACGCATGCCTGCAATCCCAGCTGCTGGGGAGCCTGAGGCAGGAGGATCCGAGTTTGAAGCCAACCCAAGCAACTTAGCAAGACTGTGTCTTCACTTTCAGAACCTGGGGGTCCCGGGGAGTAGCTCAGTGGTAGAGTGCTTGCTTAGCAGGCCTGAGGCCCGGGGTGCCATCCCCAGCACCACCAAAAATAATCTTTAAGTGAGAGTAAAGGGATATCACAGGATAGCAGGGGGATATTTCCAGTTAACTGAGCTACCAATCTTGGTTGCTGTTTTGTCATTTAAATGATAAAGTGAACTGTGTCTGATTCCAGCAGGGGGAGACAGATTCACACTGATTTTGTGAAAGAATGAAACAAGGAATAGAGCTCTGTGTGTGCGTGTGTGTGTGCGCACGCGCGTGTGTAGAGGGCCAGGCAGACAGGAAGGGGGTGCTCTGAAAGCCTTACTGTTCCTTCTGCAAAGCTGTGCATCCTCAGATCTTCCTAACAGGGAGCAGTTAGGAAGGGGTGAGTCACTATAAAAGCAGTCAGTGCTGCTGAAACGATTTCGTGTGTGGCTTGTTATGTGGCACTTTAAAACGAAAACTGCACTTGTCTACAAAGCGTCATTCCAGGGTGGCTTTCTGAACACTTGGCCGGCTGAGGAGGATTCTGAAGGCCTAGTGCCCTCTTTCTGCGCAAGAGTGGCGCCGGGGGTCTCGATGCCGGCAGGCCTTTGCCCTCTGACCCTTGGCATTAGTGCGTCATGCTGCTGAATCCGAACACTGCACCCAGAACAGCAGGGGGGACTCGGAAGAGTTAAGCAGCCAACGGGGTAGCAGGGGTGAGCTCACCCCAAACAGCCTTGACACGGTGACGACCAGTGATGCCTAATTGACATTAAGAGCAGTTGGCGGTCTCGAAAGAGCAGTAAGTTGCCTCTGGGTTTCGGCCTCCCCAGCCCCGAGCTAAGCGATAATGGGCCCACGCACATCCTCGTTACATGCTTCGCTCGTAGACGTGATTGACCAGGGCAGGCGAGCTCTGAGCAGAGGCTGCCGGTCCTCGGGAAGTCCCCACCTCGTCGCGGCAAGGAGTCAGGCAGCCGTGCATGGTGCCATGCGGTGAGGGCACCGAAGAATAGGCGCAGTGTTTGAGGTTCCGCATTTCACAGAAGTGTGGGAGCGAGCGCCTCGTAAGGAGCCTGATTTTCAGGAGGTTCATTCCTCGCTGGGTGTGATGGTGCGCGCCTGTAATCAAAGCACTTTGGGAGGCTTGCGCCCAGCCCGGGCAGCTTAGTCTTTTAGCGAGATGCTCCCAAAAAATAAAAACAAAAAGAACTAGGGGTTGTAGCTCAGTGTGAGAGCCCAGAGTTTAAGCCTGAGTAACACACAAAACCAAACAACCCCTCGCCAAAAAAAGCCTCCCCCAGGCCCCATAGAGTCTCTCTCTCCAGACAAACTCAGGCTCCACGGGGAAAGCAGGCAGGTGCTTGCGTCCTCCTTTCCCTCCATGACCACCTGCTCTGGTTCTCATGGTTGGTTTGGAAACTTCCAATGTAGGGCCCAGCGCAGGCTGTGACAGGACCCACTGCCCACGGGTGCAGGCTGGGAGCACTCGAGGAGGTGGACAAGCAGCGTTCTGTGTGCAGTGGCATCGCCTGCTCCCCCCACCCCTTGGCGTAGTGCCATGGGCTCGTTCAGCGTGACCCGTGCTGACGACCACGCTTGAGTGTTGTGAGCGAGCCGCTGCAGAGGGAGCCTGGTGCTGACCGTACGCAGGGGCAGCTGCTTCCTGTGGATCCTGTGAGAGACGCACGCACACACCCATGCATGAGCAGTTTGGCGTCCTCTGTTCTGCCACGTTGCAAGGCACTGGCTGTCCTTGGGGGTGCCGTACCCGCGCTGCCATCAGGCTGTCTTCCTGTAAGTTACACGCGCTCCAGCGGCATAGAGTGAGCTTTTCTCTTCTGTTCAGTGAGTCAGGACCCTGGGAACCCAGGGGCTCCTCAGGGACACGAACACATTGTGGTGTCAGCCTCCGCGCGTCCCTCCCAGACCCCACGAGCTCCAGAGGGTGGGGGAACACAGTGCAGAGCGGCCACCAGAAGTCACCAGAACATGCCAGCCAGAGTGGGCCGGTTGCCCAGGGTCACGGGTCAGCACCAGAGGGGGAAAGCCCTTGGGCCACTGGGTGTGCATCACCTGTCATGGAACCTGTCCGGAACGGTGCAGCAGAAGAAGGTGGCCCGACTCCACCTGCGTCCACCTGCGCACTCCTCACTGAGCTCACCTTGCCTCTTGTGTTTCCGTTCTCCTGCAGGAGGACACCATGGAGGTGGAAGAGTTCCTGAAAGAGGCTGCAGTAATGAAGGAGATCAAGCACCCCAACCTGGTGCAGTTGCTCGGTAAGTCAGCGTAGAGCTCAGGAGCAGGGCCCAGGCCGCAGCAGAAGCCGAGGGCGGCCCCACCATGGATCAGACCTCTGCTCCGCTCCTCCAGCAGCTGGTGATGGGGCCTGTGCGGGCTGGGCTGGGGGCAGTGGAGACCTGAGAGCCGCCAGGTGCAACTTCCAGATCAGCTTCTGGAACTGAGATGTGGACTGCAGGCACAGCCACCTGTGGTCACCTGGTGTGGGCCTGGCCTTCGCCCTGTGTCCAGTGGCAGCCTCTCTCCATATACGTTCGAGTTCGCAGGCTTCAGAGGAAGAGAAGGGCGTAGCCACGCTTCCCACAGGGGCACACGAGCTCCGCCCCAGCACTGGGGACCACGCTGACACTTGGGCCCAGACGTGGGCCTGTGTCCGAAGCTTCGTGGGCTCGTGAGCTTAGGCAGAGCCACTGCTGAGCGCAGTGTCCTCTCGCAGGGGTCTGCACGCGGGAGCCCCCGTTCTACATCATCACCGAGTTCATGACCTACGGGAACCTGCTGGACTACCTGCGGGAGTGTAACCGGCAGGAGGTGACCGCCGTGGTGCTGCTGTACATGGCCACGCAGATCTCCTCGGCCATGGAGTACCTGGAGAAGAAGAACTTCATCCATAGGTAGGGCCCAGCTCTGGATGGAGATGCGGGTGGTGCGCTGGGCCTCAAAACCGAGGTGCATGCTGGGGGCAGAGCTGCTCTGCGCTAAAGGCAGCAGGGCCCAGGGCTCAGGCTGTGCCTGCCTGAAACCCACGCGAGTGCAGCAGTAAGTGAAGCTCCAGAGAGGCGGCCTTCCAGTAATCACAGCCCCTCACAGAGCACGCACTGCTCCCCGGGCTGCACTGTCACTAATGACCTCTTACCGGCAGCAGCTGGCGGGGCTTTTACGCAGATTCGTGGTAACAGCGGGTGAGTGGATTCCATTCTCAAAGCATGTGGGTTTTCGCCCTCCCTCCTCTTATCCTTGCATTGTGTACTCTGCTTGCTGTCGTGTAGTCCAGGATTGTGTCCCTGGTTGTCAGAATTGCGTACGGGTATGCCGGCTAGATTCCGCGTCTTCACTGCTCGAAACCTGGAGTGCTTTGACCTTCAAGCGTGTGGCAATTACCTCAGTCTTCGAGTGTTTTGGGGGTGGAAGTGGCTTCCTAGCAAAGTGCTGGCCTGTGCAGGACAGAGCCTGGGTTAGACATTCTAACCCAGGTACGAAAGCCGTACCGGAGACTTGGGAGCGAGGGATAAGAGCAGCGCCTATGAAATGCTGGTGGCCTTAGGAAGGCGCATTCTCCATGCTGCATGAGGCCCTGGCCAAGGACTGCCATCACTCGATACCCTGGGGCCGCAAATTGAGATTTCCCAACTCTGGCTGGCCGCACACAGCTGGGTCACCCCGTCAGTTCAGGCAGACCTTCACTGCTTCCCTGAAATCCTATTAGGCCAGCTTTTCCGTGTTTAATTCTCTCTCCTTGCTGGTGATCAGGCTGTCTCACATAAGCTGCTTCCCTACTGCAGTGGACCTTGGGATTTCATGGTTAATACCCACCAACCAGCGTCAGACCCCTGCCTCACCGGGAGAAGCAGGCGCGAGGGCAGCGACTGCGCAGGGGAGGTGTTCAGAGTATGTTTGGAGGAGCGTCAGGAAGGAGGGGTGAAGAGGGCAGCAGCCGGGGTACAGAGAGCTGGAGACGGCCTCCGAGGCTGGTGTCTTGCAGTCTCAAGGCTTGGGCTAAGCATGTGGCCCCCACACCTGGCATAGTGTGACAGTGACCACACTGACGCCTGGCTGAGACTATTCTCAAGGCATTGGCAGAAGTCACTCATCACAACCCTAAGGGGCAGGTAGTGTTATTGTCATCCTCGTTTTATACATGGGGTCACAGGTCCCAGGTCACTCACTGGTGTAGGTCATGAGCCAGGGATCCTGCTTCCAGGGCCCTTCTGCTGCCTCTCCCCATGGTGGGGGCCCAGGATGTGTCTGCTGCTCCCCTGAAGGCATTAACCTGCACCTGCAGGGGTGTCCTGGGGGACCAGACTCACCTGTGGCAGGCCTGCAGCAGACCTTCACCTCACGGCTCTGTGGCCCTAGGCACCAGCCCGGAATGCTCACGGGAGCTTCCTTCCTCCCCAGGGATCTCGCGGCCCGAAACTGCCTGGTCGGAGAAAACCACTTGGTGAAGGTGGCAGACTTCGGCCTGAGCAGGCTGATGACAGGGGACACCTACACAGCCCATGCTGGAGCCAAGTTCCCCATCAAGTGGACCGCGCCCGAGAGCCTGGCCTACAACAAGTTCTCCATCAAGTCCGATGTCTGGGGTAAGGCCACTACTGCAGGGGTGGCCAGGCCAGCCTGGTGCCGCTCCCGCCCGCCCCGCACCCGCCTCCTGCTTGCTCCTCCATTTCTTCTGCATCATTACTTATCTTGGTTATTTTGCTTCTTTCTGTCATTCTAAAACCCTCTCTCCTGTTTTCTTTTGAAAATGGAGTAAAAGTGTGCCTTTTCTTTCAGAATAATCCAGAACAGTTTATTTACTTATCTTAATATGTCATTTTTCTTTTTGTTCTAAGACAAAGTCTCACTGTGTAGCCCAGGCTGGCCTCAAACCTGCAGTCTTCCTGCCTCAGCCTCCCAAGTGCTGTCGTTAGCATCTAGCTGTCCTCATTTTGAGGTTACTGCTTAGATTTGCTGGGACAGCTGGCCACCCTTGCAAGCACACAGAATCTTCCTTTGGGCTGGGTGTGCTGCTTGATTTGGTTTGGCCATTAAACAGGACGCCTCTTTCTACTCTCATGTGATAGTTTTTATTTTTTAAAGAACTTTTTATTATGACAGATGATAAGTATGCAGTAGATAGGGTTGTAAAAAGAGCCCACGTGCCCATCACCCAGCCTGAACAAACCTCACTGCCTGGCAGTCCTCCCCGCTCCAGCCCTGCCCACTCCCTGGACACATTACTCGGAAGCAAATCTTAGGTATTATTATTTTCCATGTAAAAATGTCAGCGTGAATCTCCTACAGAGGATTTTTATTAGCATAACCACAGTGCTACCCCCAGACTTGGTGGTAATTTCTCAATATTAACAAATAGACAGTATTCAAATTTCTAGTTGAGCCATAAAAATTATATTTTTCACATTTGAGGTCAGATTCAAATACAATCTATACATTGCATTACTTGATTCATCCCTTAACATGTTCCCACTGGCCTGAACCACCGATGGTACGAACAGATCTAATCGCTTTTATCAGTCTTTTTTTTTTTTTTTTTTTTTTTTTTTTTCTTTTAGGGTACGGGGAATCGAACTCAGGACCTTGCACTTGCCAGGCAGGCCCTGTGCTGCTGAGCTATATCCCCTGCCCCTTATCGGTCTTTTTAGTAATAGAATTAATAAAAAAGTCTATAAGTGGACCAGATATGGTTAGTTAGTTGAATAATTACTGTCCAAACATAAATATTAATTAACACTATTCATACCAGTTTAAAAATTACTACAATAATTAAATTTCATTAAATTAAAAAATTTTATTATATTCCTGAATTGAAGACATTTTATAGATAAAAGTGGCTGATTAGTGTAGAGTGTACAAAACATTATAATGCGTGTGGCTTTCTTTCTGGCCGCTGCAGCGCCTGTGTTTTCAGATAGCCATGCATGTGCCGTAGCTGGGCGATGGATTTCCAGTCAGAGCCGCCCAGGAAGGAGACGCACACTGCCCTCCTTAACCCAGAAGTTCACTCTGCATCCTCATATTCCTTGCCATAGGTTTGTGGAGACCCTCTTGTCATCTGTCCTTTAGTGTTTCCCATGTCCTGGGTTCTGGTTGTCGTCTCTCTGTGGTATGATCTTGTGCCCCTGGCTTCAGTATTCAGATCTAGCTGGCCTGATCACATTTGGGCTGACTTTTCGTTCACTAAGGAAAAGAAGAGGTGTGTGCTTGCGTTAAAAGGTATTTACGTAATGCCTGGCCAGGCGTGGTGGTGCACGCCTGTAATCCTAGCAATAGGGAGGCTGAGGCAGGGGGATCACTGCAAGTTCGAGGCCAGCCTGGGCTACAAAGTGAGTTCAAGGCCAGCCTAAACTGTATAGCAAGACCTTGTGTCAGAAAAGAAAAAAAAAAGGTATATAATGCTTGCTTTCCTCTGGTTGTGTGTGTGTGTGTGTGTGTGTGTGTGTGTGTTCAACAGCTATTGATACGTAGTGCCTGGATCCACTCATTTCCCGGGGATCACCATGTGGTAATTCTCAATTATCTTTGCTTAATCACTTAGTAATGGAACAGTGAAAAAAGAAGCTTCCTCTCATCTGTCTGGTCACCCAGTGGTATAGTCCCTGTAGGAAAGGCAGGGTGCGTGCTTGCTTCTCGCCCTTAGCACTTTTCTAAGTAACAGGTTGGTCTCAGGCTTTTGTCACCTTTGTGGTGTCATGAAGAATTCTTGGATGTCACCTCTGGGTGTGTTTCCATCCACTGCTGTCATTTTCCTTGTTGGTAGGCAGAGTCTTTGGCTAGGGGGGACTTAGCTCTTAGTCCTGTTGACAGTGCAGTCTCTTCTGTAGCTGTACAGGGTGACCAGACAGTCCAGGTTCATCCCTGCCCTACACTTGAGTCTCTTGTTTCTCCAAGGGACTTGGGTTCTATCTGTGGAAGATGGGATTTCAAGGTCATAATCTGGATTTCAAACTTTGAAGGATTTCATACACCTTTTATGAATTATTTAGAGTCCAGAGGGGCCTTGGAGAGAATCGTGTATACCCAGAAACTGGGGGTGTCCTGCCACAGGTCCTTGGCTCGCTGAGCAGAGCACAGTATCTGACTTCCGCCACCTATCCCAGCAAGACGGGTTCTTACCTGAAAGGCAAGGGCTGGCTACCCTGCGGGGCCAGCAGCCTGGTCGTCCTCTCCCTTTCAGCACATTTAGGCTGCGGAGGGGGGAAGCCAACAGTCTCACTGGTTAATGTCACTGCCGGGGCTGCTTCTGAGGAGCAGCTCCTGCTGCCTGCTGCCCAGGTGGCCAGTTTTCATTGCAGTATATTAAACCCACGCATCCTCCCCCATCCCTCCCTCTTTCTTTCAGCATTTGGAGTGCTGCTTTGGGAAATTGCTACCTATGGCATGTCACCTTACCCAGGCATTGACCTGTCCCAGGTGTACGAGCTGCTAGAGAAAGACTACCGCATGGAGCGCCCGGAGGGCTGCCCAGAGAAGGTCTACGAACTCATGCGAGCATGTGAGTGCCCTGAGACACCCCGTAGTATAGCTCTCAGGAGAGCGTGACACGCACTTTCCAGACCTTTCCAGTGCTTCTCTGTGCTGTACGCACAAGCAGTACATGCATGAGTTGTTTTGGGTTTCATTTTTTAAGCAAAAGTTGGATAGGCACAAAACCTGGCTTTCTTATGAATGGATTTCTGGCCTCTCCCTCCAGATACTCTGCTGTAATCACCAGAGAGCCCTGCCGGTGTTTATCCAGTTGGTTTCATGTGCACGTGTCTGTGTGCATACATGGATATTTCCATTATATACTTCCCAGGTGCTCAAGGTGTGATTTACACAGTCTTTGTGTCATTGGTCCCTCGGCTTTTCCCACGTAGCCGTGTAGCAGCGGCGCTCTCCGTGCACACACGTTCAGGTCTCTGTCTCCCCCGCTCTCACCTCGTGTGTTTGCGTAGCTGCCTCGAATCCCATAACGACTCCCTTCCTTCATCCATCCTCTTGGGATGAGTGTTTGGCGGCCTCACACGTTATTTGACTTTTTTGCCATCACGAGCAGGGCAGGAACGAACATCTCACAGTGTGCCCGTGTTTCTAAAAGCTGAGCTGCGGCTTCAGAGAACTGTGCCCATCTTAGACTGAGAACATTTACCAAAACTGTCTTCCAGAAAAGGCTGCGCCAGTCTGCCCTCCGTCAGTGTCTCACGGTGACTTACACCAGCAACACTGGGATTTTTCAACCCTTTTCATCTTCCTTTCAGCCTCATTTTAAGTAGCATTTCCTTTCTGAAGAGGAGTTTAGACTTCAGTAACCACAAAGTGAGGGCAAGGTAGAAACAAGCTATTTGGCTTATTAATTCTCTGCACCTACTAGAGTGGGGTTGGGAAAATATATTTATAAATCCAGTTTTGGCTGTCATGTCTTTCTGGAGTTCTGTAATTCATATTTCTGCTGGGACATCCTGTTTTTTCAAAGTCTTAATGTCTGTAATAGGCCCATTGGCGTGTGTCATTCTAACCTGCCACAGTGTAAGGTGTCTGAGGGCCAGGGATGCCTCTGGTTTCTGGACTGCCCCTTGTGTGGCAAGGCCTCGTGCAGATGTCTGACTTGCTCTCGTCTGTCCAGGTTGGCAGTGGAACCCCTCTGACCGGCCTTCCTTTGCTGAAATCCACCAGGCCTTTGAAACCATGTTCCAGGAATCCAGTATCTCAGACGGTAAAGTGTGTCCCTGGGGTACCCCCCACGGGGTAGAGGGTTGCATAGGGCAGCTGTGCGGAGCACCAGCCTAGGGCCTTCAGCTCACTCCTGGCGGAAGCGCAGGAGCCCTCAGGTTGTCTCAGATCAGCAAGGGGGCAGAGGCGTTGCGCTCCCGGCCTTTGGCGGCCTTGCAGAGTTCTGGAAAAGGCCAAGTGTGGTTTCTTCAGCATCCACAACCCTTCTCTGGAACCACATTGTTGCCCACTGTTACCTTAAAGTGACAGAGAACCCATTCCAAGCCGAGAGCATCGCTGATGGCCACTGGTTTTACCTTTGTCATTCTCAGAAGTGGAAAAGGAGCTGGGTAAACAAGGCGTGAGAGGGGCTGCGAGCACCTTGCTGCAGGCCCCAGAGCTGCCCACCAAGACCAGGACCTCCAGGAGAGCAGCCGAGCACAGAGACGCCCCTGACGTGGCTGAGACACCCCACTCCAAGGGCCAGGGAGAGAGTGGTATGTTCCCCACCCACCTGGGCCCCAGACCCCGCCCCGCAGCACCGCCCCGCGCCCCAGGAATCACTCGGGCCGCATACTTCAGCCAGGGGCGCAGCCTCACGTCCTCATCCTCCCTCCATCTCTCAGCCCGTGCGGCTCTTGCAGGCCCCTAGCGAACAGTGGGCCACACAGAACAGCTGGTGTGAGGCACTGACCTGAGGAGCCACTGGGGCCCCTCGATGTCTGCGGGCTGTGCGTGTCCTCTGGCTTCTGGACACAGAGTCTTCCCGGGGCCCTCCCCAGGCAGGCGAGCGAGGGAGATGGCCCAGTTCAGGGGCCTCAAGCTGTCACCAAGACAGAAGCCTCAGCCTCGGTCTGGTGCATCCTGCATGCCGGCTCTCTGTGAGTTAGCAGGTGTCCCCAAACCAGTGGCCTGGCTTCTGCCGCAGGCCAGCTGCACAGAAGCTTCAGGGGGTGGGCAGGTGCCTGGGCTGCAGGAGGTCCCGGCAGAGCTAATGGTAGGCAAGGAGGTAACAGAACACAGCCTGGGCCAGGGGGGCGGGGCGGGCCGGGCCAGGGTCTGGTGGAGATACGAGGGTGTCCCACACTGCAGCCCCCGTGCCACGTCAGTAAAAAGCAGTAGTATGGTCAGCCTGAATACGCACACACGTACACACGCATACACCCTGGACGCTGTAGAGCGAGCACACATGCTGGGCACTGTGGCACGTGTGCGTGTGCTGATTGCATATGTGGTGTCATATAAATATGCCGGAAGCACACATTGAAGTGCTGCCTGAGAAATGCACCCGGATTGTGCCATGTTCTTTCCACGCCCACTGGCTTGCCTGCCCCAGCTTCCCAGGACCTCGCAAATGGATGGGCCGGGGCCTGTGCCCCTTGCCTTCTGTTAGCATCACAGTCTGGGGTCGTTGGCTCAGCTTAAAAGACCCAGGGACGGGCAGCCACGGCCTCAGGTGCCGGCAGTGCTCCTCGGGGGCTGTGGTGAGGCGTGGTCTCCCGGCGGCCCTGGACGGGCTGTGCATCGTTCATCAGGGCTCCATACTCCCTGCCTGTGTGCCCTGGCTAAAGCTGGGGAGGTGCCCAGCCTTCCTGGGCCTGGGCCCTCGTGCTGCCGGGTGGTCTTCCCGCAGCCGCCCTGCAGGAATTCTGTCATTCGCCGGTGGGCCCTGACAGCTCCGAAGGACTGCACGGACTCACTCATATTTAAAGAGCGCCCATTTAAACTTTTCAAAAGGTCATCTCTTCTTGCTTCCCACACATGATGACCCATCACCCTGTCCCCAGGGGCTTCTGCCTCCTCCCTCCGTGTTACCCCTCCTAGGAGCTGTGAGTGGCCCGGCTATGACGCGTTGGGCGGCCTTGTGGTTCACACCAGCCAGGCTCTGGCATCCGCGAGACTGCGGCTCGAGAGCGCTGTGTCCAGGGGGCGGGTTCGGGCACATTCAGGGTGGTGTGACGGTAGACCGGCGCGTGCCCGGTGAGCAGCCGGGGCCATCGACCTTCTGCCGCCCACCCCCACCCGTCTGCAGGGAGAGGGACTTGAGCTTCCCCTAATGCAGCTGTACCTCCCAGCACAGCGACGCGGAGAAGTCCTGCCGGGAGTGTGGTGGGGATCTCACTGTCCCCCAGCAGACCTCCTCCTATGCCAGAGCTGGGGCTGGGTGAAGGGAGGTCACCTGCCAGGGCCTGTGTGCAGTGGGTAGTGTGGCTGGCATCATCCCGGCCCCTTCAGGTCCAGAGCCCCTCTGGCACCCCAGCTGTGGGGCGTGGAGCTCAGGTGTGCGCTGCTCACCTCTCCGCACTGTGTTTCAGATCCCCTGGACCACGAGCCTGCCGTGTCGCCACTGCTCCCCCGAAAAGAGCGAGGCGCCCCCGACGGAGGCCTCAATGAAGACGAACGCCTCCTTCCCAAAGACAAAAAGACCAACCTGTTCAGTGCCTTGATCAAGAAGAAGAAGAAGATGGCCCCGACCCCTCCCAAACGCAGCAGCTCCTTCCGGGAGATGGACAGCCAGCCCGAGCGCCGGGGCCCGGGCGAGGAGGACAGCCGGGAGGTCAATGGGGCCCCAGCTCTCGCCACCGCCGACGCCGCCGAGCCCGCCAAGTCTCCAAAGCCCAGCAGCGGAGCTAGTGTGCCCAACGGGGCCTTCCGGGAGCCAGGGGGCTCAGGCTTCCGCTCCCCTCACCTGTGGAAGAAGTCCAGCACGCTGACCAGCAGCCGCTTAGCAGCCAGCGAGGAGGAGGGCGGCGGCAGCACCAGCAAGCGCTTCCTGCGGTCCTGCTCGGCCTCGTGCGTGCCTCACGGAGCCAAGGACACTGAGTGGAGGTCCGTCACGCTGCCGCGGGACCTGCAGTCCACCGGGAGGCAGTTTGACTCGTCCACCTTTGGAGGGCACAAGAGCGAGAAGCCGGCCCTGCCGCGGAAGCGCACAAGCGAGAACAGGCCTGAGCAAATGGCCAGGGGCACAGTGACACCCCCACCCAGGCTGGTGAAGAAGGGCGAGGAAGCTGCTGACGAGGTCTTCAAGGACGCCCCCGAGTCCAGCCCGGGCTCCAGCCCCCCAAGCCTGACCCCCAAGCTCCTCCGCCGGCAGGTGGTGATGGCCCCGTCCGCTGGGCTCGCCCACAAGGAAGAGCCTGGCAAGGGCAGTGCCTTAGGGCTCCCGACAGCTGCTGAGCCGGGGCCCCCCACCAGCAGGGTGGGAGCAGGCACCCCCGGGGGCCCTGGCAAAGGCCCTGCTGAGGAGTCCAGGGTGAGGCGGCACAAGCACTCCTCTGAGTCCCCGGGCAGGGACAAGGGGCGGCTGTCCAAGCTCAAACCTGCGCCCCCGCCCCCGCCCGCCCCTGTGGGGAAGGCTGGGAAGGCCTCGCAGGGCCCGGGCCTGGAGGCCGCGGGGGAGGCCGGCACGAAAGCCAAGCCCACAGCTCTGGCTGTGGATGCTGTGAACAGTGACACCGCCAAGCCCAGCCAGCTTGCAGAGGGCTTCAAAAAGCCGGTGCTCCCATCTGGGCCCAAGCTGCAGTCTGCCACCAAGGCACCAGGGACTCCCACCAGCCCGGTGCCCGCTCCCTCCTTGCCAGCAGCATCCTCGAGCCTGGTAGGAGACCAGCCGTCCTCCACCGCCTTCGTCCCCCTCATATCTACCCGCGTGTCACTCCGCAAAACGCGCCAGCCCCCGGAGCGGATCGCCAGCGGGGCAGTCACAAAGGGCATGGTCCTGGACAGCACGGAGGCACTGTGCCTCGCCATCTCCCGGAACTCGGAGCAGATGGCCAGCCACAGCGCAGTGCTGGAGGCCGGCAAGAACCTGTACACGTTCTGCGTGAGCTACGTGGACTCCATCCAGCAGATGAGGAACAAGTTCGCCTTCCGAGAGGCCATCAACAAACTGGAGAACAACCTCCGGGAGCTGCAGATTTGCCCGGCGACGGCGGGCGGCGGCCCCGCGGCCACGCAGGACTTCAGCAAGCTGCTGAGCTCCGTGAAGGAGATCAGCGACATTGTCCAGAGGTAGCAGAAGCCAGGATGCACCAGCTGGAGCTGCCCGCAGCCCACGAGGGCTCACCCATGCCTGTGACGGTGGCTGACCAAGGACCCCGAGCCGGCACCTAGGCCCAGGGCTCTGCACTGGGTGGCCGGGGCCCTGTGGACCCAGCCCTACTACCTATGCTGCGCACGGCTGTGTCCCGCACCTCTCGTCAGCCCGGCCCCCTCAGCCACACCGGCCTCGCCTTGCATCTGCAGTCCCTGCTCTGCACTGTGCCCGGCTGGCTGGGGCCCACCAGGCCTGGCCCCACCAGGTGCCGTGGACAGAGCGCTCTGGGGCCAGCCGATGGGCGCTGTCCCTCATGTTCCTGTCCGGAGACCTCCTCCGGTTGTGCCTTCTCTGTCACATCTCCACCCCGGGGAGGGAGCCCCCGAGCTGTCTGCACCTGCCACACTGACGACCCCTGAGAGAGCCCCTTCCCGGGACGGCTGTGCCCGCCAGTGCCCCCCGGTCACTCCCCACTCCTGCGCCTGCCCCGGGGTTGGCTTTCCCCATCTCCTGGCGAGGAGGATGCTGGTGGTTTGAGGGGAACTCGGGGCATGTCCGGGCCATTCTTGCTGTCCTGATGTGTCTGCGCGTCCTAGCTGGGAAGCTTGAGTCCTCGGAGGGCAGTGGGGCCACCAGTCTCTGCCCTCCCGAGCCTCTGAGACCGCGCAGGTGCTTGCAGGCCCTCCCTGTGACGCAACAGCCTCTGGCGGGAGGAGCAGACCGTGGGCGGCCCTGGGGGACCGCGTGGCACCGCCAGCGTCCCTGAACCACACCCGTGTCTCTCCTCGTCACGCAGCACCACCCAGCCTGCTGTGTGTGGGCGCATCGCCAGTATGGAGAGCCCAGGGTCACCATGGTGCTTGGCGCGTTCTCCGCCAGCCGCCCAGGGACAGGGCTGAGGCGGGGCCCTGCCTCGCGGGTCCCTTGGCCATGCGTGGGCAGCCCGCGGGAGAGCGCACGGGCACCCCGGCCCTCCTTGTGCCAGCAGCCTCGGGGCCTGTGTGTGCACCAGTCAGCTAACCCGAGACCGCGTGGGTGGCAGCGGCAGTTCCCACAGCTCGTCAGCCCCGCCCCTCCGGTGGCCTTGCAGAGAAACCAGACGCCGCCGGCCCCGCCCGCCCGGCCCAGGGACTGCCCTTCCTGTTACGGGCCGCGCCGCTCTATGTCGCATTTATACTTCGGTAATTACACTTTTTATAGACTCACTTTTATATGTGGCGTGTAAATAGTTTTCCACTGCGTCCCCTCTGGAGTGCCCGTGGTCTCCCCGTTTTCCCCTTGGTCCAGTACATTTTGTTTCTGTATATGACTCTGTGTTTTTTGAATCCAGATCTCTCCTCTGTAGTATTTTTTAAATAAATAAGTGTTTACAAAATGACTGGCAGATGGCTCTGGTCGTTTCCTCTCTGCTGTTCCAAGCTGTTGCCTGTTGGGGGAGGAAGTGGGGCTGGGGTTCAGGAGGGACTGAGGCCCGGTACTGGGGCATACTGGGCAGGGTGACGGCGGGTGGCCACGAGGACATCCATGCGCAGGTGCCCGGGCCCACCCGGTGTCCCTGGACCACGTGGCAAGCTGCTGTGCTCTCGGGCCCTTCCTGTGTCCTTGGCACGTGCCGGCTGTCCTCAGCATCACTGAGCAGGGCCAGACCCCAGTGCAGGCCTCCATGTCACTACTGAAGGGAGGGAGGTGACATCCCGTGGATCTCACTGGCTGCGTGAACCCTTTCTGTCCCCCCTTCGGCCCCCAGAGCTCCCCTCACTCGTGGTCCATGTGCCAGGTGTGTTTCTTGGTATGCACAGGAGGAGCGGAGGTGTCCTGGCCTTAGGGACCATGCCAGGCCCTTACAGGGACTGTGCTGCTGTCCCCCAGGGTGGGAGGTGCATGGGAAAGGAAGCTGGAAGCAGCTCCGAACGGCGCATGCAAATCCTGCTCACCAGAGCGTGTGGCAGAGCGCTCAGCGCAGCCCCCTTCTGCAAGGCCTGGCAGGGCCTCCTGTGGGGGTGGCCTTCGGGCCGGGCTGTGGAGTCCACCCTGGTGCTCATGGGGACCCCTGCAGGCAGCTCTGGGTGCAGATGCCCTGTGCTCTTTGCCTGATGCCGAAGGGGAGGTGGGCTGAAACTATTGTCCCCCTCTTCTGCCACTCCCAGGGCTTCCCTTGGGCTCCATGCCGCGTCTGCGGACAGCCACAGCCGGCAGCTTCCCCTGTGTTTAGTGGGCCGTTCACAGGTCTGCGTGACCCTGTAGGTGTGTTCTGCATATCTGGTGTCGAGATCACTTGTGAGTCCGCTCCCGTGGGTGAGACCTGTAACCTCATCTCCCAAATAAGGGCCTGCCATGTGTCGCCTGAGCCTAGGGAACTCAGTTTTGGGTGGCTGATCTGAGACAGCAGTGCTTAACCTTTCTCGAGAGCTCACAGAGGCTCCTGAGAATATCATGGAAACTGTGGCTCTGAGCTCCAGAAAATGCGCATGTGTCCACACCGCAGCTGCCCCATCCTACCCCAAGCTCCTATGTTTTGTCCCGGTACGGAACACATTGACCACATAGCCCTAGCAGTACCTCACTTCCCAGGCAGCACCCACCCCTGGATCTCTACTGAGCCACCAGCTGGCAGCCCAGGGCTGGCAAGTCTGAGGCCCAGGCCGCTGCTGGAGCCCATGGAGTCTGTCCTGCGGTGTCCTGGGCCCTGGAGCCCAGTTGCGTTGAGGCGCCTCCCCCTACTTACTACGGCAGCTGCCTCAGGAGCCTTTTTTAAAAGCATCTTAATGAAAATTTCAGGCATACAGAAAAATACGCACAGTAGTGTTTTCCGTGCAAGCAGCTAGATACGTTTAGGTGCACCCACCTAGAGGAGGCCTTTTCCGTGTCTGGGAGAAGTACAGCCGGCAGCCGTGGGCAGCGCTCGGGGCTCTGGGCTCGGGGAGTAGAGCAGCCGGGCCGGGGCCGGGTGCAGTGCGCCGGGTGCTCCCGGTGCGTCTCTGCTGCAGAGGTGTGACGCGTGATCCGAATGCGTAGTGACTGTTGAAACAAGCTACTGCCGCGAAAGATACATTGCTGCGAATCCCCCGCAAGACACTCCGCTTGCTTTGAACACACTCATCCCGTCGTCCTGGCCACTCTCCGGAGTCCTCTTTCCTGAGCGCCGTCCAGAAGGGCAGGCTCGTGACGACGTTGTGGTGTGTCCTCCTCCACTTTATTCACCACGCCTGGCAACCTGTGACTTCCGGTTCTGCCCCAAAGTCAAGGTGACCGTGAGAAGGAAAGATTTTGAATCAACTAGGGACACTGAGGGGACCAAGGCAGCGTAACCAAAGACCCTCACGAAAGAGGACTACAGAGCTGCTGCAGAAAGTGGCGAGGATGGTGGGATAAGTATGTTCAAAGAGGAAGACTGTAGGAGTATGTGTCTTCTACTGTAATGTTTTAAAAAGTGTAAACATTCATCATGTTTTTTGATCAGACCTCATAAATGCTTTCCAAACAGTGCGAGGGTCCATGCTAGGGCCCAGGACCTTGCCACGACCATGGGGTAGCCAGCAGGGCAGGAGTTAAAGAGGAACTTAAGCCAAATGCAGTGGGAGCCGATTTAACAGACCGGTGCCTTTCGCAGTCTTAGTGTTCTGATTTTCAGGGTTATTGAGCTCGAATGTACAAGCAAACTGGGAAGAACAGCTTTGTTGGTTTTTTTTAATGATGAAAAGGCCCTTTGCTGGCCTGCCCCTCCCCATTCCTTTATCCCAGGCTTCTCCATCGAGGTTAATCTAATCTTGCTGAATTAAAAACCTGCGTGTGCACACCCAGAGTGTGTGAAGCTAAGCGGGATGGTCCAGCTGGCTCCGCTGCAAGTCCTCACAACTCGTGACACTGGGCAGGCGTCTCTAAGAGGGAGGGAGGTGGCAAGCGGAGCTCAGCCAGGGGGCCTGGCTGCAGGCGCCCCTCTGCCCCTGGCTTTCGGCCTGCGGTGTCTCACCTGTGCCCTGGCTGCTTTATGCATGTGAGGGAGCCGAGGGAAGGGTTGGTCCAGCTGCCTGCTGCCTGCACTCTCAAAGGGCAGTGAGCACCCTGGGCAACTGTGGCGTACAGGAATCAAGAGCGTCACCCTTGCCGCCCCTGTGCACCGGTGACACTCGTCCCCAGGGCCGTCCTTCCCGACACCCCAGGACATCACGTTAGCAGGTACAGCATCCCGAATCCCCTCTTCCTCCCACAGTGGAAGATGCGCCTCCCCGAGCCCCGTGGGGGTGTGGGCGAGGTGGCGCGCCGCAGCATCAGGTGCCGTTCTCGGAGCTGCTGCCCCACCTGGCCACCCATCCCTGCTCCCCGGCCGGCGCGGCTCCTTTGTGGTTCAGATCTGTCACCCTTAATGAAGTGGCTTTCTGGCTGCTGAGGATGGAGAGCTGCTACCCGGGAGTGTAAGTCACTAATAGAATGGGAAACGAAATGCTGCGAGGTGCCAAGCTGGGCCCAGCCCAGTGTGGTTCTAAAAGGCTAATAAAAATCCGCCAATTAATTGTGACAGCTCAATGGAAAATTATTCAATTGTGAACAGGGGCAAGTCATGGCTCAAAAGGAGGAGGGGAGATGTTGCCATAGAAACATCAATATAAGTTCTCATCTCAGCAGTCACAGCTGGCCCGCGAGTGAGCGGCTTCTGACGGGCACGTCTGACACGGGATGGGAGGCAGGGGCCGAGGCAGCCTTTGAAGGGGCTGCCGCGCCTGGCCCCAGGCCTGCAGCCACTGCGGCTGAGCACCAGCTCTTCCCGAGGTGGAGACGCCGGTTCCCTAATGCTCCTCCTTGTGAGAAAAGCGGGGAAGGAGCAGTCAAGTGTGGGAGGAGGAACAGCCTGCACCGCGTCTCCGTACCTTTGCCCAGCTGCCAATTAAGGTGTGCAGACACAGGCAACACAATTTCCATCTCCCCAAAGCAGAGACACTCGGCGCTCAGGAAAAGGAGGTTTCCAGGGCCCAGAGGACCTGCAGGGAGGATGCCAACATCCTATTATGATTTTGCAGTTGCTACAACTTTTATTTCAAAAGATACACACAACACATTCATATTGGGAACATTTGAAATGCAACCTTGCTGGAGCAAAATCGTACTCCTTCCCAGCTCCTCTCCCCAGAGCCCTCGGCTGGGCAAACACCACGCTCGCTACCCAGAGGCGGCCGCCGTCAGGACAGGCAGCGAGCGGCCCTGGGGGCAGCGCTGTGCCTTGGCAGTCTTCTTGCCAGAGGGGTCTGGTGTTAATGGGATGAAGAGCGAGGCGGGTTGTTTACCAGCTCGGCTTCTTTTCATTTCTGACTCTCAGAGCCGCGCTGTGTGCTGCTGAACACACTCCTCGCGCTTGGGCTCTGGCCGTCAGCAGCAGAGGTCCCCGTGGAGACGGTCACAGCCCAGATGACCCGCTGTGCTGCTGGCCCAGTGCCCCTGCCTTCGCCTCATTCTGCGTGGCCAGCTCTGCCAGGCCCTGTGCGTGACCCCCCCGTGGCCCGTGTGTCCTGGCCCTGGGGCCGGCGGTGCCATCAGACTGCTGGGGACAGGCAGCTGGCAGGGACGGCACGGCTTTGTCTTCATCCACACGCAGTTTACTCTTGCTCACCTGTTTTCCAATACCAGCTAGGTTTTCTTTTTCCTTGTGGTTTTGTTTTGTTTTTGCTTCAGCAAAGTTGGAAATCAAGAGATAGCACACACCTAACATCCTATGCTAATGCTCTGTGATAAAGCCGATGTCACCTCCGTGTCTCCTCCGAGGCTGCAGAGGTCGGGAGTGAAGACAGCGGGGCGCAGTCCATGCACGCAGCCCCTCCAGGCGGCCCTGGCTGTCACCCCCGGCCAAAGCGGAAGCTGAAGCCGCCTTTCCTCCTGCTGTAGCCATTGAGCTCCTCTGCCAGACTCCCCAGGGGGCCCGTAGCCTTCTCGCTGCCGTCGACCGGCAGGAAGCCTGCGGTCTCACTGCCCTCCTGCCTCCCAAGGCGGAGGCTGATGTGCCCGCTGCCCACGGCCTGCAGCTCCCTGGCCACAAGGAGCAGGGCCTGGGGCTGGGGGTCCGCCAGCCCCCTGGAGGAGCCCCACGCAGAGTGGGTGCTGTGCCCCTGGGCCGGGTAGGCCCCGCTCCTCCCCGCTCCGGTGCCTCCCACGGTGTCCGCAGGCTCTCTCCAGTCAAGCAGAGGCAAGCAGGCTCCGATCGGCAGGAGGAGGAGGTAGGGCAGGGAGGAAGGGCCCCTCATCTAGCCAGAGGAAAGAGAGAAGGAGTTACAGGCCATGTGTGCGGCCAGCAGCACTTCCGGGGCCTGGGCAGCCCTCGAAGGGCAGGCATCGGCCCCAGCCTCCCAGCAGCTTGTGGAGCAGCCTCTTACTCCCCGGCAGGCTTGGGAGCCGACTGTACCCATGAGGCTGGCTCACGCCCTCTGCCCTCTCAATCCGACCATCCTGGTCGCTTAGCCCTGCAAAGCCAAAGCTGCCAGGATGGCCCGGTGGGCATGGGACGGCAGTGTGAATTGGGGTTCCCTTCCGTTTTACTGTAATTACTGACTCGGGCCGTATCATCTCAGAGGCCCGGGTGGGAAGTGAGAAGTGTTGGTCTCTGTCTCCAACTTGATAACGAGCTAAACCGGTTAGCGCGGAAACGGGTTGTACACGTGGTGGCCCTGGCCTAACTCAGACCACCACCCGAGGACCTGGGGAGGAGCAGGTGGGAGACAGCCAATCCCCCTGCACCCGGTGGGTGTGCCAGGCTCCGAGCAACAGGCTTCCCAAGCAGAAAACCCTATCCACAGCCACTGCTATTCCCCTCTGCCAGGCCAGAAATTACCAGGAAGGGCAGGAGCTTCTGCCAGGCCACCAGCTAGAAAGCAGAGACCTGGACCCGGGATTCTAACAGCTGCCTGGCTTCTTGGCGTGCCAGGCCGCAGGCACGTCCCTGACAGAGCATCCCCCCCAGCTCATCAGGCCCAGGCAGGCAAGGTGATTCCGTGAGATCCCGTGGCTTACTGAGGGGCAGAACTGGGTTCAAGGCCAGACCCATCTGTGTTTGACTCAGATGTACCCAGACTTGTTGCTCTGCACCACGTATGACGGCCTGGGGGAACTAAACAGAAAGAAGCTCCCCCGGATGCCCCGCCGCGGCCCTAACTGCTCCCGCACCTTGCAAAGGCAGCCTGCTGGGTGATGACCTGGGGAGGAGCGCCCCGTCCGCCCCCGGACTGGAGAAGAGCTCTATCCACAAACTGCCCAGCGCTCTTTCCACAAATGGCTCCCTTGAAAACATTTCAAAAGAGGGAGCTCAGCCAGAAAGCTTCAAAAAATAATAGAGCCATCCCACTCTCTCCCCAGATCCAGCTCTCCTGAGTTCACCTCTTCCCCGGGGTTTGCAGCACCCGGGTGCCGCTCCATGCGGACTGCGTGGCAGCTTCCTAAGGGAGACAAGCCCGTCCTCCTGGCAAGTGCGAGCACCAGGGAGTACGGGGGTGAATACACCTGGGGTGGCCTCCGGGTCCCTTAGAATGCCGTGTCCTGACACAGGACAGGAAGTGGCCGTCTTCCCTTAGGGGACTGTGGACGCTTGCAAGAATCTGGTGAGAGCCGGGGACATTGACCACTGAGCACGGAGCCGTCGTCACGGTCCCATCGTGCGGGAAGCAGCCGGAACAGCGTGGGGGGAGGGAACCGGGCTCTGGTAGGCAGCTGTGGTCACCAGTGCGGCTGGCGCCACGGGCCGATGAGGTGCAGGTCCCCACCATCGCTGGCCTTCCCTGTGCACGGCTCCGCGCACTCCCTGCCTGCAGGGCCCGGGCCTAAGCGCCTGCTGGGGCGGGGAGGACTCACTGTGTGACCGCCGGGCTCCAGAGGGAAGGCGGACGCCTGGGCCAGGTGCTGCACCGGCTGGCGTGCCTCGGGTGCAGGAGGTGCGGCTCCCGGCTTCTGCCCAGTCTATATAGTCGCTGGGAGTCCTGCCCCCCCACTGGCTGATTGCTGCACATTCCTAAGCCTGGGATCCCTTTGGGGACCTCGGTGGTGACGGAGGGGGCAGTGCTGGCTGCACAATGAGGACTTAGCACAAACAGGATGTGGTCTGATGAGAGGGCGGACACTGCCCTTGGGGGGAAAGTGGCCGCAGCATTAGCCGTGCGCCGTGGGCACAAGCCCCGGGTCCCTCGGCAGAGACACGGAGGCCGTGAATGCCCCGGCGGTCTCAGCTTTTTCTGGGTGGCCTCGCTCCCCAGAGAAGACGCAGGGTGGGTGGGCGTCCCTACCTTGCACACTTACGGCCCGGCTGCCCCAGCAGGACTGCTCACGTGGGCCGGGAAGCCACAGGTGCCTGCTAAGCCGGTGACCGCTGGTCCCCTTTGCAGGAAGGCGGGAGGCTGCGCCCGGGCTGCTCCGGATGGAGCCCCTGGAGAGGCTGAGTCAGGCGGAGGCCCGGCTTCTGAGAGAGGGCAGGGGCGCCGCTCTCAGCACCACAGTGGGCCTGTCCCTTAGCGCGCCCTGCCCTTCCAGCCATCACACCCAGGGGCTGATGCCCATTGGGCTGTGGGCACTGTGCCCTCTGAAGCACCCAAGGATGACCACACCCACTTCGGGGGCCACAGTAATGGATCCCCAGCCAGGGTACTAGCCAGTGTGGACCCCGGCCAGGGCACGGTGTGGGTGACATGGTCATCAACTCCCGCTCCTCCCAGGCCCACGCCTGCAGAGGGAGCACGCGTGTGTCATAGGTTGGGGACAGAGATGGAGCTGGGACAGCAGCAGCCTTTGTTGGAGACGGGAGTGTGAGCAGGCGCACACAGCCCAGCTGGTGGCCGCCCCACCCCTGCTCTCCCAGCCTGGAAGCGGTCAGGCTCCCTCTGCCGCTCACAGAGCTCCGGGAAGCGGCCACAGGAAGCCCCGCTGCCAGCTGCAGGTTTGGGGTGTGGGAAATGAGGGGGGCAGCACAGCCCCTGTGTGGCCCCGTTCCTCAGCCTGGCCTCAGGTCCCCACCTCCCCCTGCTTACAGGTGCCTGGAGCCATGTCAGGTGTTGGATCTGGTGACAAACGTCTGGACTCTGAGGCCATGTCCCAAAAAGACTGCTTTCTGATGCTGTGCGGGCATCCGGGCATCTTCCCCTGCCAGCCTCCGGGCTCCACCAGCTCTGGCGCCACCAGGGAGTGACAGCCAGGGTGACAACCACAGGTGAGGGGGCGCCACGTGGAGGTAAATGCGGGCACACAGTGTGAGGGCAGGGCTGAGCGGCACAGGAAGTGGTGTGGGCAGGAGCCAGCGGGCAGCTCGGTTCCGGGGAGCCACCCTCCGGTGTCCACGCTGACCCCCAGACTTCCTGTCCTCGACTCGCAGGCGTGGACGCTGAGCCTCGGGGTGGGGCAGACTGGGTGATGGGGGCTGGGCTACCGGGCCGACCCACACCCCGCCCGCTTAGCCACATGAGCCCCCAGCCCGAGGTGCACACCAGCCAGTTGCCACTCGGGAGTCACCTGCCTTCCTCAGCCTCAGTTTCTCCGCTGGCAGAGCCCACACTGCAGAGGAGCGGCGGCGGGCCCAGGCCCTTTCCGTCAGCGTCCCTGCAGCTGCTGTTAGGGGGGCGGGACGGGGTGGGGAGGGGGTGACCTCGCCATCTCGGGCACCGCCACCAGGCCCTCCTGCGTCAGGGAGCCTCTTCAGCTGCACTGAGGGCCCTTGTCCTCTCTAAGAACTCCATGGAATCCCACCAGCCACCGAGAGAACTTCCTCGGGGACGGGCAGGTGGTGCGACAACTGTGACTGGGGCAGAGGCCCCACCCCTGGGCATCCCCATCCCTGTTCCCTCCCGCCGTGTCCCTGGGAGAGCTGTCCCAGCCGGCAGGACGTGAGCCTGTGTGGGTGAGGACCTTGCGGGAGAAGGGCCAGGCCGGGGTCCCCAGCTGCCTGTGCTGGGCTCCTCTCCTGGCCCCTCCAGCTCAGCACTCGCAAACGCGTGTTCTGGTAAATGAACCCAGGGCATCACTTTACTGTAAGCCTCCAATCCGTTTTGTGAATAAATAGCCATTAGGCACCATTAGTTCCTGATGGAGCTCCCCAAGCTCCAGCCCCAAGAGAGACCCACAGGGACAGTTATCACCCTGGGGACGCAGGTGGGGCAGGCCCAGCCCCGGGGGGGTGTTAACCTCGGCCCAGGAGCCGGGAGCCGGTCACCAGGGCGTCCACCCTCCCCTGGCTAGCTGGGCCCTGGGAAATGCTGTCACCTGGGAGATGGGGCATTGAGCTGGCTGGAGACCGAGGCTGGAGCTAGGTCACCACAAGACTTTATTTGAGACAGGAACGCACAGGACGCCAAGTACACACAACTCCAGTGGGTGGCTGTCCCACCCCATGCTCCCCACTCCGGCCTCAGCCCCTCCCCAGCCCCGGGACCCCATGCCCCAGCCGTCACCGGGCACACTGAGGCTGCTGTGACCCCTCCGCCTTCATGCCCAGTCCCAGAGGCCGGATCGCCATCCTTCTCTGCAGACAGATGGGGAAACCGCGGCCCACGGGTGCCCCAGCCGCTTGACTTGGAGTCCACTATCCTGTCCCCTAGGTCAGCGGGGTTCTGCAAGTCCCTGCCAGCACGCTGCTCCTCCGGCCGCAGCACAGGGTCCGTGACTGGCAGCAGGCCCTGCGCGTGTCCCCACGGCCCCCTCCTCCTCCTTCCTCTGCCTGGGAACCTGAGTCCCCTTGGCTTCGCGGATGTGGCCGGCGGTTAATGTCGCATTGCTTGGCCGGCTCGTTAATCCTCCAAATCTCTGCCCAAGATGAGATGCGCTTTCGGGGGAACGGGGCTCCAGCCCCAGCCAAACCCTGTGTGGAGGAGGGTGGGCGCCAGGAGGAGGGTGGGCGCCAGGAGGAGGGTGCCGGCGCTGTCCCTGCTGCCCCGAGGACAGGCAGTAGAAGCCCTGGTCACATGCAGCGGGGGTTGAGGGACGTGGCTGGGGGTCAGTGCTCAGTGCTGGCCTTGCTCCTGGCTGATGGCACCAAGGCCACCAGGGAGGAAACTCGGGTTCCTTCTAGCCTCATAGTGCCCAGGGCTCAGGAAACCAGCTGGGCGGCCTTGGGCTAAAGTCCCAGAGCTGTAACTGGTATGTAGGGGCCAGGAGTGAGGGCCCTGGCTGTCACAGAGCTGCCCACGCTGGGCGGGGTGGTCCCTCCCGAGACCCAGGGTCAAGGAAAAAGGAGGCCCCTCCTCTCCTCGGCGCACTTTCCTCACCAGGGGAAAAGAAAGGAGGCTCAGTAGGTGACATCGTGGGACACAGGGACGCCACCACCCCACCACAAATTGGGACTGGAGTCTAGTGACCTCTGTGGACACCAGCCCCCCCTCTCAGGCCCTGGTGGATCTACCCAGTGTCCCCTGCTTCCGGTGGTCACTCCCACCTCAGGGGCAGCCAGCTGCACTGACTTCAGGTCAGGGGCTCCCCGAGGCCCAGAGCAGTGTTGAGGGATTTGAAGGGGGCCCAGGAGGAAGCCAGGGGTGGGGTGGCTGGCCCAGGCTCTGCGGTCACCACCGGCTTTGTGCCCCTTTAGCCAGTGCCTGGCAGGGCCACGTCCCCCAGCAGTGCCAGCCCTGGCGTTGGGCTCTTGGGCCGGGACTGGGCTGATGCACGCTGCTAACCTGGACCTCAGGCTCCTAAGGCCACTCGCACCTGTCCCTCTGTCCCTTAGCCTATGCCCCACTGGGCTGGGCTCCAGCGTGTCTGCCTGGCACAGGGGCCCCAGCCTCCCGCCGGACACAGGCTCTGCAACTCGTGAACATCACACGGGCAGGAGCTCGTTTGATGGCGCATCAGAAGGCGCTCGGCGCTTCTAACGGGCTGGCACGCAGGGCTGGCACAGACACCGACTCTAGTCTGGGGCTGCCACCCCCCCATGGGAGTCGGGGTCCCACCAGGCCTCTGCAACGTGACCGGTGTCCTGGTGAGCAGGCTGTCTGCTTTGTTCAAGACAGAGAGGGCCCAAGGAGGCTTCCCTTCAGAGCTGGTGTCTCCAACTCACCTCCTCCCGCCCGCGGGCAGCTTTGGCACCACGCTGGTCATGCTGGGCTGGAGGCACCTGCTTGTGGGCCACCTCTGCCCCGGGCTTGGTGCCACACGGGCGGCAACCAGTCGGGAGCCTCTTGCTGAAGGTCAGCGGCAGGTGGGCACCTGGGCCTTCCTGGAAAAGGGAACCCACTCCCCATTTCCCTGCCTCCCGTCTGTCCTCCCGCCCAAGGCGGGGTCCCTGGTGCTGCTACCACCTGGCCAGGCCTTCTCAAAGGGCCTCGTTAGGTCCCCACAGGTGGGAATTCACAAAGGTGTCCCTGTGCGCCATCCTGTGGCAAACACACGTGCGCAGCTCCGAGCGGGCAGCCGGGTGTTGGGAGGACTCCGTGGGGAAATGTCCAGGCAGTGTGCGGCCCAGGCCTCAGTCTCCGCGTTTCCTCCAAGTTCAGCAAGGCTGGCCCCAAAGGCAGTGCCCACCGTCGCCGGCAGGGGGCAGCACCCGGACGACGAGCTGGCCCTGGCAGATAGGGTCCCTGTTGGCCCTCCGACCCCCAGGAGGCCTCGGGAGCCTGGGGTCATGGAGGTTGGTGGGGGGAGGTTGGTGGGGGAAGGGAGGATGCTCAGCCGCAGCCCTGGACACCGAGAGCCTGTCGCTGCCTCCCAGACCGCTGGAGCAGGCCCCGGAGGCGGGAGAGGCAGGGCCTGCAGGAGGGGGCGGAGCTGGGCAGGACCCAGGTTGGCCCTCACTGGTGCCTGGGCATGCAGCCAAGGGGACAGCACGGGCGCAAGGCCGGAGGCCTCAGCCTGCCCGGGGAGCGTGGTGAGACAAATAGTACAGGCGAGGTCCCCTGCGGAGAGACAGGGTCCCGGGGTCGGGCTGGCGCTGTGAAGGCCAGAGGCCAGGTCATGCCCCAGAGCACCCTCAGCCCTGGCTGATCTGCTGCGGGAGCCCAGGCGCCGTCTGCTCTGAGTCCCCCGAGGCCGGGTATTTGGCAGGTAAAGCAGCAGTGCCGGCTGGCACTGCCAAAACTGGGCGGCCCAACCAGTGGAGGGGAGAGGGCGAGCTGCCGGGGGGCCGCGTGGGGCAGGAGCTCTGCTCGAGGCCTCGCTTGCCCGGCGCGGTAGGACAGCGGGTCAGCCATGCACAGGGCGGGCAGTGTCCTCGTGGCAGTGGGCCCAGGGTGCGGGTGTGGGGTCAGGGGCGCGGGCACAGGTCTCGGCCAGGGGGGTGTGGGCTGGACGGTGCCGGTCTAGCGGTCCTCTCGGACCGGCCGGATCTTCATCTCGGAGAACTTGAGCGAGTACTGCCAGCCAGTCCAGGAGGACCACTCGACGCCGTCGGCGTAGGAGGCGTGCGCGCCGCGCAGGTACTGCCCATTCAGGTTGGACGTGTGGCAGTTGCGGTACCACCAGGCACCGCGGTAGAAGGTAGCGCAGTTGTTGTCCGAGTGGTCGCCGTCTCGGTCCTTGGTGGTGAACCTCATGCCGCTGTGCTTCAGGAGGGAGTCGCCTGCACGGGTGCGGAGAGGCGACCCTGAGGGAGTGACATGCTCTCCTACCACACACGCCTGCCCCTCCACACCAGGTGTGTCCCCGCGGCCACACCCACCCTGGTGCCACCGCGGGGACCCAGCACTGTCCCTGGCCCAGGCACCCCCACCTCTCCTCCCTGCATTGCCAGCTTCCTGGCTTCCAGTTCTGGGCTCTGTTTCCTCATCTGCAAAGTGGGCGCAGGATCCTGGCTGCGCTGGCTTTGCATGGCAAGGTGGGGACAAGTGGGACCAGAGGTGGAGACCATCCTGACCCCGGGTCCCAGGGCTCAACCTGGCAGGACCCCCCACCCCGTCCTCCCTACCTGCGGTGCCCGAGTACTCGGCCACGGTGAGTGGGTACCCATCCTCCTCGGGATCCACTGAGAATAAGCCCACCCCGAAGCTCCCGTAGTGGGCAAAGGCCGTGCCATTGTCGAAGTCCTCCAGGTCCACGTGCAGCTCGTAGGCAGCCTGCGTGGTCAGAGCGTGGATCCTCTTGAGCCCTGGAGCGGGGGAGAGGGTGTGGGAGAAGGGGCGGCACGAGGACACAACCCCCAGAGAGAACGGGAGGGAAGCGCAAGCCGACAGGCTGTGCTTGGGGCCCGAAGGGCAGCAGCCAGCGAGCGTGTGCTGCCGCCTCAGGCTGCTCCCTTCCTCCTGCAGCCCGTGTCTGGCCGGAAGCTGGAGACTGACGCTTTTCCCGTTTGGCTTTCTGTTTAAGTTGGACTGTGCTTTCCAAATGCGGGAGTCCGGGCCGGCGGCCGGCGGGAAGGCTGTGGGAGCAGCAGCGAGAGCGGGGAGTCTGGAGCCGGGTCTGGTCCTCGCGTCCCAGCCCTGCCTCTGAGCCCCCACCCGCTGGGACGCTGTCCCTGACCCTAGCCCAGTCACCTTCAGGGTGTCCACCTCCTCTGACAGCTTAATACTGCTGCCAGGGCTCACGACTCGGCCCAGCTGCCTGTCCCCACGCTTTCCTGACCAGGTCGCGCTTGGTGGACAGAGGTGGAGTGCGGTGCCCGCAGCTCCTGCTGTCCCCAGGACTGGCTCTGCACCTCGCCCACACCCTGCCCACCTCCCTGCCTCCGTCCCTCCCCTCCGCGCCTCTCCCCGGTCACACACACTGGCGCTGCTCCCTGCCTCCGTGATTAGCTCCTGATTAAGAGGGCGTTTAATTAAACGCCTCAGGTTAGCAGCAGCAGTGACATTTCATCAGCCTCTCCCCCCTGCGTGCCTTGCGCCAGCGCCCCTGGGGGCCAGCGTGTGCCACCAGGCCAGGAAGGCAGGACGGACCCCCTCCAGGACAGGCCTCAGGGACAGTGGCTTTTATTCCAGGGTCGGGGTCCGCAGAAGGAGCCGTGGGAAGAGCAAGGACAATGGCCACAGGGACCTCAGCCGGTGCCCCCAGCCTCAGCCCTAGCCCTCGCCTTGGAGGATGAGGGGTGCACAGGGTCTCTTAGGTCCTCGCCTCCCTGTCCCCTGGGAAGTTGGTCCTGATCTCTGGGCCCCGGCACGCCTGCGGAGCAACCTCCCAGGGCGGATGTGGGCCGGAGGCTCCCAGTGAGCCAGGGTCTGATGAGTCCCAGCGCCTGCACAGTCCCTCCCAAAGCACCTGCGGCCACTCACGCATCCAGGTTCGCAGCCACAGCAAGGCAGGTGCTGTCATCATCCCTGTCACCACAAGGCCAACAAGAGGCCCAGGGAGGTTAAGGACGTGGCTGGGTGACACAGCTATTCAGCTGCAGCGCTGTTCAGTGGATTTGAACCCAGGCTCTTAGGCAGACTTTGCTGGGACAAATCTCTTGATCTGGGAATAAGGGAAAAGGAGACAGTTTCCTCTTGTGCCATAACAGGGCCGCTGTTACCTGAAGACCCGGCAGGAGTGTCCGCCGTTCCTGTTAGCCGTGCTGGCTGGGGTGTGCCCTCCTGGGGACATGGGGTCCCCGCCTGTCCTGCACGGAGCACCTTCCCCCAGCTCCTTCCCCCTCAGCCTCTGGGCTTCTCCAGCCCCTGCCGGTCCTCCAGGACTTCCACCAGCCCTGGGGACTGCTCAGTGCAGCTCACTGACCCTCAAAGTGCAAGTCACAGGGGCGAGGGACAAGGAGGTGCCGAGGAGGACCCCTGTCGCACCCCAGCCTCACACAGTCCATCAGTGAACTTGCAGGTGTAGTCGAGAGCCCAACCTAAAACACTAACAGGAGAAAAGCCAAGAAAAACACTCAGGGAGATGTTTATAAACCTGGAGGTGAACTCAGGGCCTACAACCCAGGGGAGAGGAAGAAAAAGGCTAGTAGAAATGACCACGTAAAAATTTAAAACTTATAGGAAATAACAACCACGCTGGAAGACAAATGACTGGGAGTCACATATCCCAGGCATCGGACCGAGGATCAATAACCTTAATATATAAAGAGCTCCCATAACTCAATAGGAAAAGACAAAAGCCTGCATGAGAAGGCGGCAGGCACGGGGAGCGAGGGGTGCCAGCCTGGAGTTGACATTCTTGTCAGGGCACCGGCGTCTGCAGAGCTAATCAGCCCCGCCTAAGTGCTTCCTCGCACCTTCGGCCGCTGCAGATAGATTTCAATTAAGATGTGGCGCCGAGCAGCAGAGGCGCCTGGGCTGCAAGGAGCTGGTGGGTGGCCGCGCACGGCCCTGGCCCCACCTGGCCGCCTTCTTCTCCCTCAGTGCCACCAGGCAGGGGCCAGGGAGGGGGCTCCCCAGCTGGGGTCGCCCCAGCCTGCCCCTGCAGGGCATGGTTCAAAAGTGCTGTCCCCAGAGCACGACCCTGCAGGGAGCCCACCCCACCCCAACACGTGCTTGTGACAGCACGTCAGTGTCTGCAGGGCGCAAGGCAGGTGCTCAGCAGGTGCACGGGGGCGGGGGGCAGAGACCGGGTCACAGGTTCACAGCGGTGTCTCTTGCTCCTGCAAGCCAAGGAAGGGAAAGCCCTGCCCTCCTGGATCCCAGGCCAGGGGCAACTGGACGTTAATGACAGCATGGATGCCCCAGAAGCCTCTGTGCCCGAGGAATGAGCACCTCACCCCTCTACCCTGCCTCGTGCCCACGGCCTCACTGGAGTCCTTTCGGACCCAGGACCTCATCTGGCACCAGACCTGACTCTCAGCCCTGCGGGACGTGACTCCATGCCTCCGGGCTCCCTACCTCCTGCTCAGGCTCCCAGCTTCCCAGATACCCACACGGGGCAGAGGCACCCAGGGTGCACAAGGATAGCGGGTGATGCATTCATTGGGAAGTACATATGTAAACAGCGTGCCTGCTGGCACGCGGACACAGGGGGTGTGTGTCCAGGACAGGCCTGCGCCCTCCTGGGGCTTCTGTGCCCATGGGAACCCCTGGGACCCCGATTGTTAAGCAATGACAGGGGCACTTGGGTTGCAGAGGAGGCAGCGACCCTGACCAGGGTCTGTTTCCGAGGGGCCCGGCCTGTAACGAGCAGAGGCGGCCAGGTCGAGCGTAGGGATAAGTGCAGGGAACATGGTGTTTTCTCCCAAGTGAAAACTGTTCTGGAATTAGTGATGGCTACAGAGCTCTGAGAATGAGCCGAAAACCTCCGAACTCCGCCGCGGACGGGCACTGCGCTGTGTGTGAGTGTAGCTCCACACGACAGAGAAAAATCAGACCTCAGGCCGCAGCCGCCTCCTGAACACGTCCACACAGGGCCCTGAACTCGGGAGTTCTGTGGCTGCTACTGAGCAGAATGAAATGAGATAAGGTATTAAGACGCTCAAGACGCCGAGCGAATTTAAAGGTGGACACTGAGCAATGGCAGCACTGACAGGGCCCTCTGGAGCCCTCACGCCGCAGCCCGGGCCGAGTCCCTGCAGAGGGAGGCTGTGAGGGCGGACACCGGCCAGAGCCGCCTGCCGCTCTCTGGGGCTCCAGGCAGCCTTGCTGACCCTGAGGGCACCGAGTGCCTGGCCGTCCTCGGGCCCCGGGGCCTGAGGCGCTGCCTGCACCTGCCATGGTTCGAGACCCAGGACAGGGACCAGGCCTAGGATGCCCCCACAGGACAGCACACACCCATGTTGCCAGGCCTGCCACACTACCCCCACTTCCTCTGGCCCTGTCCTCGTGGCCCTGCGTTCAGGGTGACCGGTCACCTTCGCACGCGGCCTCTGGTGTGCGAGGCCAGGGAGCCCGGGAGCCATCCACTCGGGGAGGGGCTGGGCCGAAGCCCCGGCTGGCTGCGGGCGCGGGAAGGGCTCTCACCTAGCCAGTGCTCCCCTGTGAGCTTGCCGAAGCCCTCCCGGTACGCGTCCCAGCCCCGGAAGAAGTTCACCGAGCCGTCCTCACGGCGCTGGAACACCTGCGGGGACAGAGGGGCAGAGCTGTGTGTACCGTGCACCCAGGTCCTTGTGGCCCCGCCCTGCAGCCCCGAGGACTCCCACACCCGCTGCTGACCAGCCCACTCTGGGGCAGCAGGGCCGGGCCCCCAACCCCCTCCACGCCCACAGCCCTGGCTCCAGCAGCATGGTGACCAGGGTGCGACTGAGTGACCGGCCACAGCTCCTCGCAATGCTCCACCTCCCAGGGCCTCCAGGGCATCTCTACTGCCTGGTGGCAGCCGGGTGAGCCCCCTCTTGCACTGGGCCTCAGTTTCCCCAGTGGTGAAGAGCGGAGGACCAACAAGAGTCCTGATATAATTTTCCAGGTCAAAATGAAACAGAATGAAAAACCATCGCTGAGGGTGGTGTTCTGTGTGTGTGCGTGTGTTACTGGGCCTTTGCACGGAGCTGCATCCCTAGCCCTTCTTATTTTTACTTTTTTGAGACCCCAGTCCTACTAAATTGCTAAACTGCTTGGGCTAGGTACAAACGTGGGATCCTGCTGCCTCAGCCTCCCCGAGTGCTGGGGTTACAGGCGCACCACCAGGGCCGGCCCCCTTCTGAAGTTTCCAAACAGCCAGCCCTGCTTCAGCTCGGCCTCCAGAGCCCCATCACAGATAGTTCCAGGGTGGGGGACACCTGGGAGTCCCAAGTCCAGGCTGCCTCTCAGCGGAGGACGGGGCGTCCACTGTGGGCTGGGGTGAGACTTGGGTACCAAAGGGCCAGCCCGCTGCCTCTGCGCGTCGTCCTAATAGCACTGCTGGTTTGGGAGCCTGGAATCCCATCGGTTAAATTGCTTTGAAATCAGGCTTTGCTGGCCGAGCGGCCGGGGCAGGACTGACAGCCTCAGGCGCCGCCCCCACCTGCCGCCCGCCCACCCGCCTCCCTGCTCAGCCAGCCTTCTCCCCCTCCGCCGGCTGCCTCTGTCTGTGCAGAGCTCGGGCTGCTGCGGCCCCAGAGCCGCCACTCTTGTGACTAAGCAGCCTCACTCCAGTGGCTCAGAGCTGCAGCTGCCCGCGCTGAGCACTGGCCGGGTGCACCGCGTCCATGGGGACGCACTGGTCACGGGCCGCTGGGCAGCGCTGACGTGGCGGAGCTGGGTGGGCAGATGACACCTTGCTTGTCTTGCTCTGCTGGCCCAGCCCTGAAATTTCAAAGTCCTCAGGAGGGACCAGCCTGGGCGAAGGAAATTCGATCAGCCTCTCGGAGATCTAAGAGGCAGCGCCGGGAGTCTATTGACGGTCTCGGATTGGGACCCTGAGCACGTGCCGCCCTTGCAAAGGCTTAATCCTGGCAGCGGCGGGCTCCCCCGAGAGGGTGTCAGGCTGCACGGAGGGGCCGAGGGCTGCCAGGGCTGGAGTCCCTGGCTCAGCTAACATTGGAGGCTGCCGGCCCTGCCCTGGGGCCCTCAGATGAGGTGGGTTGGAGTTCTGGGATCCTAATGGTGCGTTGCGTGGCCCTCAGAGCCTCAGCATCCTCATCTGTAAAATGGAATCAGAACAGAACCTTTCTGTGGGCTCTGATGACCCAATGAGCTCGGAGTCGGGTGTGTAGTACATGGTGAGGAAATGCCAGCTACGGTGCCCAGGCTGGGCTCCAATTTGTGATCCTCCTGCCTCAGCCTCCCAGAGTGCTGGGATAGCAGGCATGCGCCATCATGCCCAGCCAGCTAGGAGCCTCTTTCACCCCTGCAGATGTTCCGTGGGGTACCAGGTGTTGGCTGGGGAAACTGAGTCAGGAGACCCTGCCCTCAGCGGAGCTCTGGCCCAGGCAGGGAGCCGCACAGCTCTGGGTGGGAGACAGGAGGGCTGCCTGGGGGCCCGGCCCCCAGAAGGGCTGGAGGATGGCCCTGGAGGAGCCGGTGCTGGGTCCCGGCCCACCTGTGGTGCAGCCCCTCAGTCCTCACCCAGGGGAAAGCCTGCTTCCCAGGACCTCGGTGAGGCGGAGCCAGGCTCCTCTCCGCCCTCCCTCTAGCGCCTGTGCTGCTGCAGCGGCGGCGGCTGCGGCTAAGGAGAAGCGGGCAGGCGGGGCGTGAACCCTGGAAGTCAGTCCCCACCAGACGGAGCCCCACTGGGAGTGTGGAGCCGGGGCAGGGCTCAGCACCGCCATGCCCAGCAGGGCTGTGGCCAGGGGCGGCCAGCGGGGCTCCTCCAGGAAGGCTTGGAGGGGATGCACAGCTTTGCTGAATGTATCCGGGGCCAAACCTCCGGAGCCTCTGCTTGCAGCCCGGAGCCCAGGGTGTCCGTGCCAAGATCCAATCTCGCCCCAGCCGCCAGCCACCTACGCCGCTGCCCTCCCGGCTAGGTGCTCATCACTGGCGCCACCCTGCCGGCTCCCACAGGCCCTGGGCTGCGCCTGGGCGCTGCTGAACGATGGTGACCACGTTCCGGGGCCTCCCAGGTCCCCTACTCTTCACCACCACCCAGGACAGGAGGCGAGGTGGAGACAGTGACTTTCCTGTGAGGATCCGAGCGACCCCAGCCGCCGTTTGCCAACGCGGGCCTGCAGCCTGAGGGGTGCTGGGCGTGGACCCACCCCTCCTCGGCAGCTCGCCCCCCAGACGCATCTGTGCGGAAGTGGCTCTGGACTTCTGACCGTGACCTGGAGAGGTGCAAGTATCCACATCCACATGTTTCTCTCTGAACTGAAGGCTTCCTGAAGTATTCACCTGCCCTAAGGAGGACGCCCCGACACCTCCTACAGTGTTCTCCACTATTCCACCCTCTCTGATTTAATAAATAACCTTGTCGGGCGTGGCGGCACACACCTGTAATCCCAGCACTCGGGAGGCTGAGGCAGGAGGACCGTTGCGAGTTCGAGACCAGCCTGGGCTACAAAGTGAGCTCAAGGCCAGCCTGAGCTGCATAGCGAGACCCTGTCTCAAAAAAAAAAAAAAGAAATAACCTTGACCACAACCCAGTAAGATGGTTCTGCCACCTGTTGGTGGGCCCCGACCTGGGGCCTGAGAAATGCAGCTCTCGAGGTCCCCTGTCCTTCTCACCGGCGCAAACGCCCCGTGACGTGAGTGCGTCCCAGTGCCCACATGGCCTGACAAGTTCCAAGTGCAGCAGCGGCCTGGGTCAGCGGGGTCTCCAGGGTCCCCGCGCTGTAAGGTACTTTGTCTGACTCTGAGGCCAGAGCGAACAACGGCCGTGGCTTCAGGATTCTGGCAACTGGCCAGACTTTGGTGACACTGGCTATTTGGATGTCAGCAAGCAGAGGAGCCTTTCATCAAGATCAGCTGGACAGGAAACGCTGAGAGGGAAGCAAGGAGAAGATGGGTGTGGCCACATCGCCCTCCTCCTGCCCCGAGGGCCCCTGCTTAGACAGAAAGGCTGGGGAAGCCGAGGCAGGGTGACGCTGACGGTGCGTGCCTAGCGTCCCGGCATCTGCCTCAGCTTCCGCCGGGAAACACTGGGTGTAGAAACTCTCGCCGTGGAGAAGCCTCCTGGGCCACAGCCACGAGTGGGCAGACAGACAGAGCGTGTTTTCCTGGCGCTGAGTCCCAGAAGCCAGCCGCCGCCACCCAGCGCGCCTCGGACAGGCTGCCAAGGGGCTCTGCCAAGGGAGCTGCGTGCGGCCCACGTGGTCCTGCAGATGGTGCCGGGTGGTTCTGCAGGAAAGACCGCCGCACCCCGTGTGGCTGGCTGCCCCGGCTTTGTCCCCTGGGGCTGAGGGGCAAGCCGGGGATGCCGCTGTGGTCTCCGCGCCCCCTGGGCCAGGTCTGGCCAGGCCACCTTGGCAGCCCCGCCCCCCGGCCCGCCTGCCCAGAAGCATGGGGTCCACATCCTGAGCACCTGAGCCAGCTCCAAGGTCACCCAGTGCCAGGCCAGCCCCTCTCACCACAGCCTGCAGGGAGCGCTGTGCCCCATTTGGCAGATGGAGAGACTGAGGCTGGGCACAGCAGGTGGCCGCTGCAGGGTCTGAGCCCCAGGCCCAAGGAGGCAGAGGAGGGTGGAACCACCCGTAAATACAAGGCTGAGTGCGGCGAGGGGCCCCAAGGCCCAGCCAGGGTGGACATGGAGCCTCCGCCAGGCTCTGTCCCAGGAAGCGCCTGGCTGGCACCCAGGAACCCAGGTTCTACCCAGACTGCGCTGCAGGCTGCGTGACCTTCCGGTTTCTCGCCTGCAAAGCAAGCGGCACACGGGGCCCCATGGATGTTTGGGCCCACAGGGTGATGCACTCAACTCAGCACCAGGAAGGCAGACGTGGGGCCCCACGGCCCCAACCTGCTCGTTCTTCCAGGCTCTGTGCCTCGGTTTCCCCATTGGTAAAACAGGGATTGTAACTGCCTGAATCCCCCAGCCTCGCACCAGGAATAAAAGCGCCAGCACCCAGCACCTGCGGCAGTCCCCGGTCTGGGGCTGGGGGCTGCTGGAGGTCCGGGGCTCCTCGCAGTGGTCTGGGGTCCTGGGGGGGATGTTCACCCAATGGGCAGGCAGAGAGGCAGAGACCCTAGGGCTGAGTCCACGGCCCTGCAGGCTCCGCCACAATTCCCAGGGACACGCATGGAACCGCTCTGAGCCTCAGTTTCCCTGCCGTGAGTCCCTGCAGGGTTAGGGCAAGGTGGCGTGAGCTAGCCGTGCACCCACCGGGCGGCACGCAGGTCTGAGCAGCGCCCCGTCCTTCCCTGCAGAACCAGCTGCCGCGCCCAGAAGGAAATGGGGCCCACTCCTTGTTTTTGACTGGAAATGGTACCCCCGGGATTGGCACCCCGCCATGGTTTCCAGGCCTGGCAGCCAGTGCCTGCTGGCTCTTGGCAAAACACGGCTCAGAGATGCCACTTATCAAACGCTGAGCGCCTTGGGCGCAGGCTGAGCGTCTCACGCGCGTGAGCCCGTTCACATTACAAGTTTGCGAGATCCCAAGTGCCCGGGGGAGGCGAGCTTTCTGCGCCCACATGGGCCGAGGGAAGGAGACGGTGCGGTCATCGGGCAGCTTGGCCGTTACTCACACGGGTGGCCTCCGAGCACCGCTCCCTGTGCCCAGTGACGTCACGGCGGGGCTCTGACCCTCCAGGGCGAGGGGGACCGGCCACGCTGCAGCCCAGCGGGGCAGCACGCTGTGTCTCGCGGAGCCCCGGTCCCCAGCGCCGGGAGCCCCCGGGAGCTTTCATCTCTCCCTGAACCGCCAAGCTCCTTTGAAGTTCTCGGAGCAGGACTGGATTTTCCTGCTGCCTGGAGAGCCCCGGTGGGGGAGTGGGGATGTGGGAGGGGACAGTTCCTCTCGCCGAGGAGCCAATTAGAGGCACATCTGAACTGGGTGACCCCCCGCGCTGGGGGACGCCTGGCGGAGCGGGGCTGCCGGGCAGAACGGGGTGCAAGCCCGGCGCCTCCAGTGCAGGGGAAGCAGCCGGCGCCGGGGACTGGAGCGGGTGGCTGGGAAGCAAATCAATTCCAGGCCAGGTTCCTGCTGTAGAAGCTGCACGGGCCCTGACCGGCATGACATTGGCGGTGATCACACAAAAGCAAGAGCTTGGCAATGAGGCCTGGGGGACAGCAGGGGCCCCCCTTCTCCTCCTGCACCTCCCTGCCTCTGACTGCACCCCACCCGGAGACACCAGACTTGCCCCCCACCCTGCCTACCGCCTCCGCCGGCCCTGGCCCAAACCCCTTTACGCAGAGCCACCCAGCCCCAAGCAGCCCTGCCCTTTCCTGCCGCGCCCCACGCCAGCCCAGCCCCGGGGCCGCTAGACTGGGGCAGGGGCCTCTGCCTGCGGACAGGGTCCCCTGCCTCCCCAGCCCTGGTGGCCTGGGATTTCTCCTTCTCCGTCTCTCCCAGGCCGGAGCTGGCTGGTCGGCCTGGGTCCCGCGGGCTCCCTGCACTCTGCACATGCCTGGCGCCCCGTGTTTGAAATGCTGAGGTCCCTGGGGAACAGCTACTTCCACTGAAGTGCGCCAGCGGGACAGAGCGCGGCGGGTCCCCCCGGGGAGGACCACGGCACTGGGCGTCGGACACGGCCCTAATGAGGATGGATGTGGTGAGCCAGCGGAGCGGCCGCAGCCAGTGCCCTCCCAAACAACAATTGAGCTTCTGCGAGATCTGGGGTGGCAGGGAGGCGATCCTGACAGATGTCCAGAGGTCCTGGGGAGGATTGCTCCTGACGGGGCCCAAATGGATATTAAGGTGCCTCGGCCACGCCAGCACTTCTCCGACGTCGGCGCCGGGGTGCAGGGGGACCTGGTCCTCATCCTCTCCCGCTGAGGGCTCCCGAGGCCCAGCCCGAAGTCATGGTCTTCCAGCGCCAGCTGACTTCCAGGGCCCCGGCTTCAAGGCCGCAGCCGCAGGCCCTGCTCATTAAACCCGTCCTGGCCTTAACTCTGATTCCCCGGCCCGCGGGTGCCTCCGCGCACACTGCCCACTGCCCATCACTCAGGCTTCTCACGGTCGGGAAAACAAAAGAGCTTTTAACCCCAGACACAGACCCAGGCCGTTTAAAAGCTCTCCGAGCTGGAAGGCAGGGTTAGCAGGGCGTCTGCCTCCGGGTCTGTGGGGGATCCCGGCTGCTCTGTTCAGCCTCCTAACGGCAGCTCTGCCCCCCCCTCGCCTCTGCCGGGGCGCTGACCCCTTTCAAAGCTGAGCTGCGGGCCCCCCAAAGCCCCCACCCTGCACTTCCAGGCTGCCGGCCTCATTGCGTGTTAAACTCTTCTGGATATCGGCAGCCTGGACGTCCACGCACCAAGAATAGTCAACACCGAGCTCCTCTGAGAGGCTGACGATCTGCCCCGCATCCAAGGTCGGAGACAGGACACTGCCACCGGCCCCCTGGATGCTTCAGGTCCCCATTTCTGTGCCCTGGACCCTGCCGACGCCCTCAGCCGGCGGGGAGCTGGTGGGGGCGGGGTTGCCCGTGAGCGCGCTGCCCGTGGCGTGGCTCCGGCTTGGTCTCCTGTGGTAACTGATAGGCAGATCACATGGGACGGTCAGCCCCAGCGCCGAGGTGGACGGCTGTCTTTATGGAGACCCTTCTTTCTGCCTTGGGAAGTCTGGCAGAGGTGCGGGCAGCCCTCACCCACGTGTTAAAAGCACCAGCTTCTGGCAGGGCAGGTGTAGACCTTGAACTGACCGGGGTGGCAGGAGGCAGGGACAGAAGGGAGGACTCCAAAGGGGCCGTGAGGCTGCCCGGGGCCAGAGCCCGGTCTCCCTGTGTCCTCGCCGGTTCCCGGCGGAGTGGCCCTGCCTGCTGTCCCCCTGCGGGACTTTCCCCTCCTGCCCCGTCAGCCACTTCCTGTCGCTGCCCTTGAGCACTAAGTGCTGCGGGAGGAAAATGAGGCCCAGACAACCCAAGCGAGTAGCCTAAGGCGGCACAGCAAGACTCAGCGGCACCCCCAGGCTCCGGGCGCAGGGCCCCTGCAGACCAGCCACGGCCGCCCCTCCGCCTTCGCTCTCCTGGGAGGCCCGACCACGCGGTCAGCTTCCGACGCTCAAAGCACTGCTCTTCCTTTCCAGCACTGGGGACGGAAGCCAGGGCCTGGCAGCTCCGACCCCAAAGCATAACTCTCACCCCACCTTTCCTCTCCGACATCCTCCATAGCTCCCCATCGCCCATCCAGACCCACGGACCAGGAGCCCGACACCTCCGGCCTCATCTCCGACACTGAGCCCCGAGGGTGCCCCACATGCTCTGACTCCTGGGCCCTGTAAGGCGGCCCCGCCTGGACCTGCTGCTCTTCCTTGCACACACTCAGAAGCCCTCTTCTCAGTCCTCCCTGGCAGTGCATGCCCGTGATCCCAGCACTCTGGGAGGCTGAGGCAGGAGGAGGCAGCCCGAGCAACTTAGTGACTTTGTAAGACCCTGTCTCAAAATTTAAAAAATAAACAGGACTGGAGATGCAGCTTAGTGCTGAGGTCCTGGGTTCAATACCAAGTATGGCCAAAAAAAGGTCTCCCTTTCCTAGGAAGCTGACTCCGAGCCTCCCCAGCCTCCCAGCTCCTTGAGAGGACTGGAAGAGGGGCTTCCCCAACTCTGTATGTCCCTACTACCGGTGTACACGAGGTGCCAACTGAGTGTGAAGCTGAGAGTTCTTAAAGAGCCTGCTTTCTGCTGTGCATTGGATGGAGCCCCAGCCACACATCTGTGTGTGTGGATAAGCAGTTTTCCGGGTGGTATACAGGGACAGTGGTACATGTTGTCCACTGTTCAAGGTCACCTGGCCAACAGGGTAAGGGTCCTAATTCACCAAGTCAGTACCCCAGTTTGCATAATGGAAGGGACACACATTTTAAAAATTTATACAACAGTCATTTGATGGCTGGCAGTACCTAGCTACGGCGAAACCCTCAGCCTGGGCCCCCTGAAAGGTCGAAGCCCCGCCATGTAGGGGAGGGCAGCTGTGAACTCATCCTGTCAACTGCTGCCAGCTCCAGAACGGGGTCAGCCAGCCCCAGCTGCAGGATGGTCCCCTCTGCCGCCTGCTCTTGTGGGCATGCTTCCCAGGAATGGTTTCAACTTTTGAAAAAGAATCAAGGGCCGGGGATATAGCTCAGTGGTACAAGCGCCCGCCTGGCAAGTGCGAGGTCCCAAGTTTGATTCCCAGTACCAAAAAACAAAAAAGAAAGAAAGAAAGAGAATCAAAAGAGCTGGGCATGGTGGCACATGCCTTAACCTCAACACTCAGGAGGCTGAAGCAGGAGGATCACCGTGAGTTCAAGGCCAGCGTAGGCTGCATAGTGAGACCCTGTCTCAAAGAGAGAGAGAGGGAAGGATGGAGGCAGGGACAAAGAGAGGAAGGAGAGAAAGAAAGAAAGGAAGGACAGAGGAAGGAAGGAAGATAAATCAGAAGAATAATTTTTATCAGTACTGGGGATGGAACCCAGGGCCTGGCGTATGCTAGGCAGAGGATTTGCTTTTGAGCTCTTCTAATCTTTTTATTTATTTTGAAACAGGGTCTTGCTAAACTGCTCAAGCTGGCTTCAAGCTTGCAGTCCTCCTGCCTCAGCCTCTCGAGCAGCTGGCATTCACGCCCCAGGCCTGGCTCCAAAGAAGAAATTTAAATGTCCCCTGGGTAATATTTGAGGAAAACTATGGGACACGAGCCTGTCGTCGCCTGCTCACCGGGCGCATGAGATCCCCTCCCGACCCAGTGTGTGGACAGAGACGCGGAGACTCACCGTCCAGCCGCCGCCGTCGGTGCGCATGTCGCAGTAGACCTGGAAGCCGGCGGGGTAGTGGGTGGGGAAGACCGAGTAGACGCCGTCATCCTGCTGTCCACTCAGGAGGACGTCCAGGCAGTCACGGGGCCGAGAGCCTGGCACGGGCGGGAAGCTGCATCAAGACGGCTGCCACCCAGGCCTGTGTCCTCCCGCCCACGCTGTCCCCAGCTTTCCGGCTCGTCCGTCCGCCCACCACACCAGGCAGGGCCGGGAGCTCCGGCCTCAGACTCGCACGGCTGTGCCGCTCCCCGGCGTCACAGAGCTCGGCCCGTGCACTCACCGTTGGCACAGCCCCGCGGCCGGGCGCCCCTGGAAGGCGCCCTCTGGAGATCGGCCTTGAGGTGGGGCCGGCCCAGCCCCCGGTCCCTCTGCAGGGCGTCCAGGATGTCGCCGACGGAGTTCACCAGGTGCGCCATGTGGCCTTGGCTCTCAGAGAGAAGCTGCGGGCAGAGGGGTTCGGGCGGGTCACCGGGGTGCACAGCTCATCACCTGGAGGGCTGGCCAGCCGCGGGGGAAGCGGCCCTGACCGCAGTGCCTGGGAGGCCAGCCAGACCCCCACAGACCCACAGGTCTGGGACTCCAGGGCTCTGAGGGCGGCCGGGCACGGGGAGGAGGGCACCGGTGACCACAGTGGCAGAGCATGGACAGCGTGGGCCCCCAGAGGCACCCCAAAGTCGCCCAGCACTTTCCAGGCTACAGAGCAGCCCCGCCGCTGTCTGGTCCCCAAGCAAGGGGCCAAGGCAGGGGGAGCGGGCAGCACTGGCAGGGGCCCCGAGGCTTGGCATGCGCACAGGAGCCCAGGTGCAGGCCCCAGGGAGGAGCCAGGAGGCCCTGCTCCCAGCCCCCCAACACTGCTCTCCGCGTCCGTAGTTGTCTGCAGTCCCCCCCTTCTGGGATGCTGCAGGCGCTGGGACTGCGGGTGGCAGCTCCTTCTCACAGAGAGAGAAACTGAAGCCCGGAAGAAGCGGTCCCTGTGAGGGACCGGGCACAGGGACCAGGACCCGGGCTAGCTCTCAGCTCTGACGGGCAGGAAGATGCCCAGGTTGTGTGTGGAGGGGGCATTGACCATCTGGGTGTTTGTCGCCATACTGGGGGTTGACCCGGGACCTTAACACTGAGCTCCATCCCCAGCCCCTTTACTTTGAGACAGGGTCCCATTAAATTGCTAAGTTGCCCAGGCTGAGCTTGAACCTGGGATCCTCCTGCCTCAGCCTCCCAAAGTTTCCAGGATGAGAACAAAATCTTTTGGGGGATGGGGGCCCCCATCCCTTGTGCTTTCCCCAGCAGCTCGCCAGTTAGGCTGTCCTGAAGGGTCTGGGGCCAGGGTCTCCGCCTCCCCACCCGAGCTGCAGGAGGCCGCAGGTCCACGTGGAGGGGAGGCGCCCAGCTGCTTGGAGCACGCCACGTCTTCCACACCGAACCTGTCACTCACCCGCTAATAGCCCCTCGGAGGAAGGGAAAGAAATCACTCCAGGGGGATGGTTTACAAAAGCTGGTTCCCGGCTCGTCCGGTGGCAGGTCCTGGGAGGCTTTTAGCCTCCTGTCCATTTCCCCTCCGCTGAGCAGGCGATCGGGGCAGGGCGGGGCGGGCCCCTCGGCAGTGACCGCCGTGGGCAGCAGCCGGCCAGCCCTGAGGAGGGACCCACGCGGCCACAGGGCAAGGGGTGGCAGAGACCACCGGGCAAGGAGCCCAGGCCTGACCCCTCTGCTTGCCAGTGGGCAGAGGACCTGGGTTCAGAGCAGCAGGTGACGAGAACAAGGCGTCCGGACAAACGCGCCCCGAATTCCCAGGGAAGCCGGCCCCTGAGCTGTGCAGCTGGGGAGCAGCCGGGGGCCTTTAGAGGCCGTGGGGCCCGAGCTGCTGCTTCTGTTGCATCTGTCATGTGACTAAGCTTTCTCAGCCCCTTAAGCTCGGTCTACCCCCCCACACACAGTGTGGGGTAACGGCATGCCCAGCTCCTGCAGAGTGCCAGGAACACAGAGCCCTGAGCTCAGGTGGGCCTCTCGCTCCTGTGACTGTCAGTAGCGGTTCCCTGTAGGTTTAAACTTCAGTTCAAGATGGGGCAGGCAGAGCCAAAAGTGGTGGTGTGTGCCTATAATTCCAACACCCCAGAGGCTGAGGCAGGAGGATTTCAAATTTGACACCAACCTGGATTACATAGCAAGACCCTGACTCAAAAATAAGGCAGGGGTTGCAGATAGTATGTACCTCCCACGTGCCTGAGGCCTGGCAGCCCTGTATAACCAGGAGCTCCCCCCAGGCATCCTCACTTTAAGGCTACTGGGTCCAGCCCAGAGAGGGGAGGTCACCTGCCCCAGGAGCCAGCTGGCGAGATCAGAGCCTGGGGGGACCCAGCTCTGCAGCTCAAACCCTTGGCCAGAGGGCTTGGGCAATCCTGTCCTAAAGAATCACCCAAGATGCCCACCCCAGGGTCTGGGGTTGGGGCAAGGGCGGGGACGTTAACGACCCCCACCCCAGGCATTGCTCTAAGAAGCCCAGGCCTGCGCCTTGTGGCCGAGGGTCTTGGGGCTGTGAAGGAGGGTGAGGCATCCCGCTGCCTCTGCTCGGGAGGACGGGAGCTCCCTGCACCCCAGGTGACATTTGTCCCCTTGAACGTGCAGTGAAGGGTGAGGTGTGCGGCCACTGGGGGGGCTTGTGGAAAGGTTGAGGGCAGCAGGGCCCTTTCTGGCACGGGCCCCAGGGCGACACCTGTGGGTCAGGCATGAGCAGAGCAGGCCCAGTGCCCCAGGGAATCTGGAGGTCCTCTGTCCCCTGTCTCCGGCCCACGGCTGCAGAGGCCTGGGGATGCTTCGGGGGAGGGGCAGCAGGAGGCCACTGAGCATCCCTGCCCGCTCCCATCCGTCACCACAGGCAGGGCGGTGGAGACTGGAGCTCGTGCAGACGGAAACCTCTGCAGCTGCAGCCTTGGCAGGGCGGGGGGGGGTGCTGTCACCCGGTCACCCGGCTCCACGTGGGGGAGGGCTGGGCGGGAGGGGCTGGGCTGGTGGGGGGCGGGGTACCCAGGACTCTGGAGAGCAGCGAGGCCCTCTGTGGGCAGCTTTTCACTGGCAGTTTGGGGCAGTGGCTGCGACAGGCACGGGGGCAGGCAGGACTCTGGCAGTGGCCTCCGAGTCCCTGGAAGGCCAACGGCAGCAGCCAGGCGAGGAGCTTACTGGAGGATGGGGGCGGGGCTCGGCCTCTCTCTGGCCCGGCTCCCTTGCAACCCTCGGTCCTTGGTTTGTGTCCTTCAGAGTGAGGACACCCCTCAGGCCCTGGGTTCTGCCCGGCCACCCCATGTCACAGGTCCTAGGTTACCTTAAGGCGAGAGGGTCCAGCCCAGAGAACCTGTCCAAGACGCCAGCTGGCGGGGACAGAGCCTGCAGACGCAGCTCTGTGACTCTAACCTGTGGGCCGGGGGCTCGGGCGATTGTGTCCTAAAGAATCACCAGAGATGCCCGGTGACCACCGTGGGCCCCAGGACTGCCAGGAGACTGCAGGGAAGAGCCAGGCTTGAACCTGGACGCCAGCATGGTGGCTCCCCGGAGGTGGGGACAGGAACGGGTCCGGGTGGACCGGGATGGCAGCCCCACGCCTGCCCGGGCCCCAGGCTCCGTGGCCTCACCTGGACCAGGCGACTCTGCTCGCTCTGCAGGGCGCTGAGCCCCTGCCCCAGCGCACCGTGGCCCTTGCGCAGCCCGGCACACTCCGCCTGGAGCTCTGAGGCCCGGGCCAGCAGCCGCGACAGCTGGTCGGCCATGGTGTCCAGCAGCTCCTGCTCCTGGGCTCCGTCGGGTGACAACTGGGCTCGGTGCTCAGCCAGCGCCCGCAGCACGGAGGCCTGGGCTCCCTCCAGGCGCGTGAAGCCGTCGGCGAGGTCCGGGCAGCGTGGGTCGATGAGGATGCTGAGGTGTGAGCTGTCTGCCCTCTCCACGGTGACCAGGGCGCTGTTGGCCCCCGCCGGCCCCGTGCTCACGACGGGTGGGGGCGCCGTGCCTGGCATGTGGACATGGTTCAACAGGAGCACGGCGCTGGTGACAGCCACGGCCAGCAGCACAGCCAGGGACAGCAGCACGGTGCACAGGACGTAGCCGCAGCTCGGCCGCTGCAGGGAGCGGGAGATGTAGGGACGGGATACACAGAGGACAGACAGGAGAGAGGAGGGCACGCATCAGTGACTAAGTGGGGGTGGGCAGGGATGGGGAGACCCGGGGGACAGGAAGACCCAGAAGAGGCCCGGGGCAGACGTGGCAGGGACAAAAAGGGTGCAAAACTGAGAAACTGAGGCAAAGAGAACCAGAGAGGGCAAGGGGTTCACCCGGGGTCACACAGCAAGTTAGAAACAGAACTCAGGCTGGACCTCAGGGTGCCTGCTTCTCCCAGAAGGCACCTCCCGCCACCCAGCGCCCCAGCCGCACGCTCCCTTGTTTCTGGCCTTCTGAGTGCAAGGTGTCTCTGTAGATGACGAGTATATTGATGTGCTTGGAACCACGCCTGCACGCATCGAATGCATTCAGTATCAACGGCTTTTCTTGTCCCCTGATCCTGAGCGCACCGCGGCAGGAAGTGGCTCCTACCTCCCACCCAACTCCCTTTCCAAGCGTCCTCACGCTGCCCTGCACCACACCTTTTCCTTTTTCTCTGCCCACACTGGGCTCAAACCTGGAGCCTTCATGCGGAGCTACGTCCCCGGGGCCTTTTTTTTTTTTTTTTTTAACATTTTCTTTTTTGAAGGTCTCACTAAGTAGTAAAGTGCCCAACCCGGGTTCTACTTTGCAATCCTCCTGCCTCAGCCTCCCAGTTACCTTGCGACATCTCTGGCACTGCAAGGTCTCTGGCAACAGTGCCTGGCAGCTTGCTTTCTCACGGGTGATGCATAAAATATCCACCATCTTCACATTGAGAAAACTCGGCCAAGCAGCCAGCTCTGCAAGAGCGAAGCTGCGGGCAGCCCCTGACTCTCCAGAGGGTGTGGGGGGTGAGGTGCAGGTCACCAGCAGACCCTGCAGAAGGGACCTGGTTTGTTCTCACCATGAGGGTGACAGGTTCCCTTCCTGTCCCTGAGGTCCTGATGCCTTGGAGACCCAGTGCCCCGCAGAGCCCGGGCCTGGGCCGGGACCCGCACGTCTGGAGCACGTCCTCCAGCCGGACTCCAGTGCCTGCTCCCCTCCACGCGCTGCCCTGCTGGCTCCTGCTCCCTCCCTCCCGCAGGGCCTAGCTGGCCGCACCTCCTCCTCCAGGAAGCCTTCCTTGACTGCTTCCTCAGCCACCCCTGCCTGGTTCTGTCACCCTGGAACTTGTGTCCCAGGAGAGCAGGTGTCCCTAAAGGCCCCCGATGACCTGGAGCACCCACATCCCACAGGCCTCAAGATTACCATCCTGCGGCTGCCTCCCTGCATCCCTGGGTGCACAGAGCCGCTCTGCTTTGCCACCGTGGCACTGGCCAGGGCCTCCATCGCCTCTGACTCCGTTCATCCACCCCCTTCCGTCATGGCACACCACAGTCCTCCCAGGAGCCAGCTCAGGCCGCCCAGCAGGGGTCAGGGCAGGTCAGTCCCCTGTTCCAGGCAGCCCGGGCACCAGACTTGAGTCTTGAGCTCTTTGGGGACCCAGATCCTTCATGACTTCAGGGGCTGGGGAGCCCCAGACCAGAAAACACCCCCTGCACAGGGTGCCTGGCACCACGCTGTCCCCAGGGCCGGCTGTGAGCGGGCAGATGGGCAGACGGCAGAGGGAGGGAGAGCAGGCACACGTGTCCGTCTCTAGGGTGGTGCTGGCCAGGACAGGACAGGACAGGAGGGACCTCCCTGCTGGGCCTGAGGCAGGGCCGCCCTGGTTCTGTCCCACCCCTGACCGCATGGCACAGAGCAATGACGACGCCAGCCCATCGACCATTGCTGGTCGGCGTTGCTGTCACCGTCCCTTGGTCACGGGCCGCGCTCTGACCTCCACAGTCTCCAAATCACCCCCTGGGGTTGGTGCTGCAGTTGAGCTCATTTTGTAGGTGGGAAAACTGAGGCTCAGAGAGCAGAGACGGAGCCCAAAGTCACCCTGGGGACAGGCAGCAGAGGCGGCAGGAGAGGCCCGTGCTGGGTGGCTCTGGAATCACAGGGACGCCAGGCCTGCGGGCTGAGCCGTCCCACGACGCCGGCTGCCTGACAGGCAGAGCCCTGTGTCAGCAAGTCCGCCCCTGTCACACCCGCTGTGGAGCCCACGGGAGACACCTTGCCCCGAGCAACTTGGAGCTGCGTCCTCAGACTGGCGCTGAGGTCCCCAGCCGGTTCTGCCGAGCCGGCCATCTCCTCGGTGTCATGGACCCCGGGCTCTCGGGGCACCCTCCTCCCCCCAGAGGACACAGAGCAGGAGGGACTGGGGACCTGCGGGGTCCCCAGAGGCAGGGGGACATCGGAGCCTGGAGCTGAAGCAGGGCACTCGCAGAGGAGAATTAGTCTTCAGAGATCGGCCTCACAGACGAGGAGCTTCGCGCTTTTACAGGCTGTGGCTTACGTGCCTCGCAAAGAAATCCGCGAGACAGCGGGGGCTGCGGCTGCGGACGGGCACCCTCGGGGCGGGGGCTATTGTCAGCCTCTGGCATGGCGGAGCGGGGTGCACACCCTCACTCTGCACAGAGCCCCCCAGCACCTAGAACTGGCATCCTCGGGACAGCAGGAGAACAGCCAGGAACGGGATCCCGGGAGCTGGGTTCGAAGCCACTGCTGCCGCAAGCCAGCTCCCAGCTGCCTGAGCCCCGGGAAGACGGCGGGTGTGAGGGAAGGGTGGACGCAGCCCCTGCCCAGCTCTGAGCCCCCGGGGTCCTCTCCCCGTGCCCCCCAGCCCACGCTGCTCCCACCTGGGCAGTGGCTCCCACAGGGGCTGAACCCAGCTACAGCTCCACCCCAATTCCAGGGTCCAAAGACGCTAAAGGGGGTGCAGGCTTCTTCTGTGAGGTCAGAGCTTCTGTCCCCCTGGGTGCAGTCCGTGGAGCCCAGATTGAGAGACATCAGAAGCCTCTGGGGGCCCCGGCAGGGCCTGGCACAAGGAGGGTGTGTGGGTGGCATTGCCCTCCCGGGGCTCCACACTCTCACCTGAAGCTTGGCTCTGCCAGACCGAATACACAGCTGGCACATGCAGACCTCTCCCAGGGCCCTGAGGGGCAGGACGTGCAATGAAGCAGGGGCTCAGAGCAGCAGGAGGGACCCCCAGTGTCCCCAAGTCCTGGATTTTACCCTTCTCCCGACACATGCAGCCACCTTGCTCTGAACCCCAGGACCAAGGAGAAGGGGGCCTGCAGCTTTTGCATGGCATCCATCACAGCTTGCAGCGACGCCAGACTGTGGGTTTGTCCCCACATACCCCAAGCTCGCTGCCCCAGGCACGGGCTGCACTCCCAGCAGGGAGCAGGGTCTTGGTAAAGAGCTAACTAATGAATGAAGCTAGCGGCAAGGACTGAGGTCAGACATCAGGGAGAACTTCCCCACGCAAACAAACGGTGTGAGCAGTTTGGAAACCATCTAGAGAGCCTGCCGTGGTAGCCTGGGGACCACTCAGAAGTAAGCCCTGCCCTCTGGAGGAGACAGCTATGGGGTAGTGCGTGCTCCACCCTCCAGGACGCGAAGACCCGGGTCTGTTTCTAGCTCCTTCCATCCTAGTGTCTCCAACTCCCAGCAGACACCTGCCTGCTGCCTGCCAAGGGAATGACAGGCCCTTCCCGTCCTTCTGGGGCTTGCGGCACGGGACATGCTAACAAAGCCCAAGTTGGCAACTTGCCCAAGGTCACCCAGCCTTGAGGGGCCAAGGGCACATGGGGCTGGGACACAGCAGGACTAGTCGCAACCCTCAAAGCACACTTGAGCATTCCGCTCGGAGCTCACGGCAGCCCTGGGAGGATGAGGAGGCTGGGACGGCCGTTCCTGTGCTCCTGATGGGAAAGCCCAGGCCCAGAGAGGGGAGGAGCTTTCACAGGGACGTGCAGCGCCAGCAGCTGAGGGGACCCAGAAGCAGGGAGGCGAGGAGGGCAGCCGGAGGCAGGGCAGTCCCAGGGAACCAGCAAAGGCCTGGCCTCTGTCTGCAGCTTCAAAAGGAACAGAGCTGTCCGGGGCAGCCTGCCCCGCACCACGTCACCACGGGGAAGGCAGTGGCAGGGACCAGCAGACCTGAGCAAGGCGGCTGCTCACCAGGACGCCGTGAGGCCACACGAGAAGCCACTGCCCCTTGCCGGGTGCACGCCTCTCCAAAGGCTCCTCCTTCGGAAGCTTCGAGCAGCACAACTTAATAAATTGGAGCTGGAGGGGCTGGAGGCTGAGACAGAGTGGAAGAGGGCCCTGGACGCTGTGTGTGTCCCCCGTGGGAGGAGGGACTTGGGGCTGTGGCCCAAGGCTGTGAGGTAAATGTGCAGAGGAGCCAGGACTTACACACACAGGCAGTAGGCATCAGGGAAGGCTTCCTGGCGGAGGTGGCCTCATTTGAGTTGACTTTTTTCCTTAGTACTGGGAATTGAACCTAGGTCCCCAAGCATGCTAGTGAGCCCTCTATCACTGAGCTGCACCCCTAGTCCCGTTTTTATTTATTTTAATTTAATTAATTTATTTATTTTGAGACGGGGTCTCTCTGTGCAATTCAGGGTGGCCTTGAACTCACTCTGTAGCCCAAGCTGGCCTCAAACTCACAGCAATCCTTCTGCCTCAGCCTCCTGAGTGCTGAGATGACAAGTGTGCCCCATCACACCTGGCTTTGAGATGCATGTTGAAGAACACACCGGGTGTCCCCAGAGAAGGAGGGGTACGGGCCTCCGTGCATGGGTTTGGGGAACCCAGGCAGCCAACACGGTGAAGCCGCACAGATCTGGAAGTGGGGTGAGCCCAGGTGGGTAAATGACAAGCAGAGAGGACGGTGGCCAGGCCAGGGGCCGCCTAGGGATGAGTCCTGCAGTTCTGATGGCTCTCGGTGAGGAGGAGGTCAGACCCCAGCAGGAGGGGCCTCGATATCTGCTTGGGGAGGACCCGATCTTGGATCTCCCAGGGGGCACAGACGCCCTGTGAGGCTGGGAGAGGCGTGGGGCCCAGGTTCGAATCCCCTAGGCCCTGCCACCGCACCGTGTGACTGCTGCACTCCTCCCCCCGACACCAGGGCCCCTGGTCTGTGATGTGGGGGTCACCGGGCAAGCAGCCCCCACCGGCTTCGGGAAGAGACCGGCGCTAATGGGACCCCAGCCACTCGGCCTTGCTCACTCCAGAAGAGCAGGTTGCAGATCTGTGGGAGCGGGCGGCCGCCAAGGCCCGCCCCTGCCGCCCCCCGCCGGCGGCTGTAAACTCAACTGTTCCTTCCCCAATGACATCTGTCTGGGAGAAATTTAAAATTTAAAACCAACAGCCCCATTATCTCCGCTCCTTGGCGAGCAGCCTCCTCCTCTGCCACCCGTCCTGGTCCCCCTGTGTCCCAGCCTGGGGCAGCCCTGGGGCTGAGCCTCTGCCTCCGTCTTGCTGGACTCCAACCCTGGCGCTGGCGGGTGCTCTGCCCTCACCCCTCTGCAGGGCACAGCTGAGGGCACCCCGCAGGCCACCAGCCCAAGTGCAGAGGCAGCGGGAAGGGAGAAGGAGCCACGGGCCCCAGAGCACACAGCCCAGGGTTCAAATCCCAGCGCGCTGTGTGGCCTCAGGCTACAGTTGGCCCTCTCTGAGCCTGGTGTCCCTTGTCTTAAGTCTAGAGTCACATGCCAGCCTCCTCAGGAGATGAGTGTGCTCTGATCTACTGCATACCGGGTCCTGTAAGGCGGGAAGATGAGTAGGAGACCCTGGGGAGGGAGGCAGGTCCGGGTCCTGAAGCCCAGGTTGATATGCCGGGTGCCTGGCACCGAGGGGCATCGGGAATGGGGACTTAGATTCCCGTGGTGCAGGCAATACACGGAGACCCGGCAAGGGAAGTCATTCGTCGGTGGTCACACAGCGACCTGAAGGACGGACCGGGGTGCGCACTGGGTCTCCCACTCCCCACAGCCCCGCACATGCGGGGGCACGTGGGGGGACCTGGCTGCAGCGCGGGGCTCCCGCAGGGGCGCCGCCCCCACCTGAGTTTGGCCTCCCCTGGGCGCGCGCCCCGGACAACTCCAGCCGCCTCGCGCCCCGCACGGACCCGGTGTCCCCGCGCCCGGTGTACCTGCGGCTTGTCGCGCGGCCGGTCCTCAAGTTGGGAAGCGCTGCCCATGGTCTTCCAGCGGTCGTTGACCATCTCCGGGGAGGCGCCGCTGCGGGCGGCGAGGCGGGGAGCGGAGCGGAGCGGCGGGCGCGGGGCTCTG